TGTGTTGATACTGTTCGTTTCAGTTGCCCAGCATATAGAGAGATGGGGGACCATTGATTGTCGTAAGATGTGGCCAGTTTTTAGTGCTGTCAACGACGATGAGATTGAATCGAAAAGTTGATGATGTAGACACCTGCTGTAGCGACATTGCAATAGCAGGAAATCCCGGTCGATGCTCGACTTGTTCCCGTCGTCATGCTTGAGCAACGTTTGGCAACTAAAGATGAGTGTTGATGCCGATTCGGACCACCAGGTCCGCTTTAGTAGCTAACCGAAAGTGGCTCTTGAGTCCAGGAGATGGGAAAAAGATGCGAGTGTATACTCGACGAGGCGAGGACAGATACAGATAACATTAAAGACAAGCACATGTCTCTTGCGAGATAAGTCGTGACAAGGTGGGCTCTTGGCCCCAGTGATGTTACATCCAGCAGTGTCGATGTTTGAACAATGTCCTGATCGTAACCATACTGACGGTCATCTGACATGGCTGAGTGAGTCTTGCCATCGAGCAAGTTCTGCAAATGAGCTTGTGAAGTCATGGTGGCAATGATGGACTGTCGTGTTTTCATGATGCTGGGAAGCGGACCCGAAAGGTGCAGAAGTTAGAGTTGCCGACAACGTATCCGTCTTCGAATCTCATGACTAGAGTCGAGGTTAGTAGGTTATCTTTTGGCATGTCGATCTCGCAGAAGCAAAAACATATTTGAAGTGATGCACCATGAGCAACAAGCGTGGTTCTCCAATGACGCACATCTGACTTCAGATTATGCCTAGTGAAATGAAGGCAGCAACTGTCAGATTGACAGTCGTATGTGGTACGATATGCAAATGAAATATGGTGTTGGACAGGTAGCATTAAAGGATATACGGAGCATATGATAATAGATGGTGAGATGATGCGGTTGCCGGGCCAAAGGCGTTCATCGGCCGAGAGGGGTTGATGTTCGCCACCTAGCAAGCCAGCTTCGCGCGACAACTGTGCAAGGTACGGTCTAGAGCAGTGAAGCAGGTTCAAGAAGCCGATAGATGTGATGCTCAGCAGGAAAAGGAAGCACATGACATGTTACTCAATGTCGAAGTGATGGACTTGTGAGGCAAAGCACGGATGAATCGCGGTTAGTAAGCGGGTGCCAAGGCCCTAGTCCGCCCACAGTAGGCAAATTCAGCGGGAGCTTTATCCTCGCCTTTGCCCCGACTCTTTTGACCTGTCGACCGCGAGCCTACCTGCGAACCAGCACAGCCAATACACCAACCACTTACGCAGAGACTTTTTCACACAAACCTCGTCAATCAAACACCGTCAAGATGGTAAGACCGACTTTCCCGGACTTCTGAGGCGCGCGCTGGACCAGTCGACTACGGGTGGCAAATTTCGACCGAAGGACAAGAGAAGGCACACGACATGGGCGACCAGCGTCAATCTACCATCGGACACCATCAATATCGCATCCAACCTATCGATCTGCCTGTAGAACGAAGTGCTGTCAGGCATCCAAATATGTCGTCACCCGCCACCCGTCCACCACCGTCCAGCGTCGCATCTCAGAAGACTGGACACACAATTGCAATCGCAAAGAGATGGACTGACTGAGTGCCCTCTAGGTTCTCGCAGTCGATCTCCTCAACCCCACCCCTCAGGCCGAGGCCCGCAAGCACAAGCTGAAGGTGCGTACATCTGGACATGCCCACAATCATACAACCATGGTCTGACTCTTAGCANNGATGCTTGTCCCCGGCCCTCGCTCCTTCTTCATGGACGTCAAGTGCCCCGGTTGCTTCACCATCACCACCGTCTTCTCGCACGCCCAGACCGTCGTTGTCTGCGCCGGCTGCTCCCAGGTCCTTTGCCAGCCCACCGGTGGCAAGGCCCGCCTGACCGAGGGCTGCTCTTTCCGCAGAAAGTAAACGACTCGTTGAACCAAATGAAAAAGAAAAGCATGTCTTTGGTTTTCGTAACGAGGAGTGGATGATGGATGAGGGTTGGACGGACGCAAATTATCAATCAAGCGGAATGGAATCCAATCAAGATGCACACACAACCAACAATGGTCAGCCGCGCGCATTGTGGATAGAAGAGGGAAACGCTCTCGCCCCCCAAAAAAAGCAACATGTTTCATGACCCAAAAACTTCGACCGCCGTCGTCACAAAAGGGAGTTCCGGATATCCAAAGGCCTGAGCCACGGCTTTTTTTCGTTTTTCCCTTTTCACAGGTCTTTTGCTATTGTCAATGGAGTTTTCTACTTCTTTCATTTGCTGTCCTTCTGTACACGATGCATGGGACAGACGAGATTGCATCTCCTGCCTGCCTGTCTTCTAACGTTGGTTACGTTGAGGAGCGAGGAGTTTGTATGCTATTGAGGAAAGCTACCCTTGCTTGCCTGGTTCTAGCTCTGCGAATTGATTTGTCTATTGCTTGATATTCGGTGACCACGATGAGACTAGACGTCAAATGCCACGTGCAAATGTAAAGATTAGCCCTATGGGATTAAAATAGAGTGATGGCATGTTGCATCACTGTGCTTGACGGTGAGAACGGTCTCTGTCTCAAACATACCCCCTGTCATCTCTTGTGTTTATCCAAATGCCGACCACCTTTTCTTGTCGAGTGATCCTGAAGTCAGTCAAATCAGGCAGCGTTCAACATGCAGCTTGAGATGGCATGACCGGGTGAATTGGACGTAGCACATGCAGAATGACTAGCGCAGTCGTTTGGGCGGCTACGAGAGAAAAGGAGAAGACGGCACCTCTGACCAGCAACCAGTACACAGCATTTCCAGCATGACGACGACGAGATATACAGAATCGGAATGGCGCGCCATCATCTCAGATGTTGCGCGCGAGCTCCAGGTCTACGAGCAGGACTACTGTCCCGACATGGACAAAATTGACATTTCACGCACCATCGACCACACGCTGCTCAAACTGGACGCGACCCCTAAACAGATCGACGAGCTATGCGCCGAGGCCAGAGTCGCCAACTTTGCTGTATCTTGTCCTTGTCGCTCCTGTCTCTGGCCAGATTTACTGACGCTGTATCGTGCANNGAGCGTTTGCGTCCGTCCCAACTATGTCGCCCAAGCACATGCCAATCTCAAAGGAAGCAACGTCTTGATCGCCAGCGTCATTGGCTTCCACCAAGGCACTCAAGACACCTACTACAAACTGCAAGAGGTTCGAATGGCACTGGCTGCCGGCGCTCACGAGCTGGACGTAGTAATCAACTGGCCTCTGCTCAAACAACAAGAGTACAGTGAAATCTACCACGAACTCGCCCTTATACGCTCCATGGCACCCCACCCTACTGTCCTCAAACTCATCTTCGAGACCTCCCAACTCGGCTCTAGGGATATCGTTGCTGCTTGCGCTATTGCCTCGGCCGCCAACTTTGACTTTGTCAAGACGTCGACAGGCTTCCTTGGACATGGCGCAAAGGTTGAGCATGTCAGGCTTATGCGTGCTGCCTGCGACCACCTGGCAGACAAACGTACCGACCGCCACAGGATGCAAGTCAAGGCTAGTGGAGGCGTTCGGACCGTCGAAGATGCCACCACCATGCTAAAGGCCGGTGCCACCAGGTTGGGTACCAGTGGCGGCGTGTGGATCATCAAGGAGAGCAAGGAACAGGGCATTAGAAAAGCGAGTCCTGTGCAGAGCGAGAGAAGGGGCTCGAGACCTACAATGTCTACACGGCTTTTCACCGACTACTGAAGATGGCGAGTCAGGGGTAAGTTGCCTTTGTTTGACACGAATTGACGATTTTTCTTTGCCTTGTTTCTTCTTTGCCATCCATGGATCCCTGTCTCTATTTCTCTCTGCTCATTTCGAAGTCCCTTCCACTCTCCATCGTCTTCTCTTGTTTACAATACTTCTATGTCTCAGTAACGACCCGCGTCCATCTTGATCATGTCAGAATGCCGATTCGTAGTCTTACGTTCATCCCTCAAGTCCTGTTATGCTCCAACAGTCGCTTTGACACGGATTCCAGCGATCAACATAAACCATTCTTATAAGAGCCCATGCATGTAGAGTGCACATCGATCTTGAGCTACGTGCCTCTCGTGGTCAAAGGTACAACGAGCAGTAGTGTCACTCTGGCACTCTTGAAGTACAATCGAACAAGCAGCCATCCACTCCCTTCATCTGTGATCTTGAAGAATTCCCCTCAACATTGCTCAGTCTTGGGTCCGGAGGGCTGCCTCCGTCCTTTTTGTGAAGTCAATTTCTGAATCCTCGTTTTCTGAATGCACATCCGCAAACGCTTATGCTGCCACTTTCTACATGCTTGTAAACTTGAACCAGATGATACACCATCATTTATGCTCTAATCTCCTCTTACAGCGACTGAACTTTCTTCTGTTTTGTAATCCATGGCTGATTTTCATTGCTGCCGGTATGACCCTGGCTCTGGATACACTGATCACCGTCACCGTTGTCATAGACATGGATTATTCCAGATAGTACATTATATGCTTTGTTCGATAGTAACAGCTAAGTGATGTTGTATGGCTCCTCGTTCTCCGGATGGCAAGGTAAAGAAGGGAGGATGATCGATTCCTGGACGCACAGGAGAAGGATGAAGGCGTCGTCTCTGTATTATGCATCGATAGATTGATGAGGATAAAGAGACATAAAATTACTTTTCTCGAATACGTCTTCCACTCGTTTAGACCTGAGACAGAGCCATGTTCGGCACGATCAGGAGGAAAAAGACGAGACGCATGCAGAAAGGTACTACAAACAGCCTTTCGTATAGAAAGCAAAACAAACGAGCATAGAAAAGCAGACGTCCTTCAGACATGGCAGTGCTAGGAGAACTAAACAGCATCATAACAATCTAAGCAGTCTTATTCCATTGTGCCATCAGACCAATCAAGGAGCTGACGCAACCAGCCAGACCGACGACACCATCATCAACGTTGATGTAGCCGAGAGCAGAAACAGGGATGAAGAGATCGCAAAGATCCGAGATGAGTTGTGTCTGGGCAGCACTTCTCTCNNACTACAAAAGGTCAGCAAAGATGTTCTTGGACAGAGGATCCAGATATGGAAGAGCAAAGGGGAAAGTCAAAACATACCGCTGCAACTTCTTGACCTCGACCGTCTTCTCAGCAGCAACAGCCTTGTCCGTCTGCGCAGCCTCTTCATTCCTACTCTTGTAGATAGTGTACACACCGTTCAAGACACTAAAGCACAACCCCGTCATCCACGCCTTGTAAGCCTGAACCTGCATCCTCTTGGCCGTAGCACTAGGCCTCACGCCCGAAGCATCCAGATACGTCAAGGTGTCAGTGAGCATGTAAGCTCCATATCCGAGCTGTCTTCCAGTGGTGCAAAAGCGAATGACTGGGTCAAGGGTCTTTGCGTCGTAGGCATTTGCTGCGGCGCGGAAGTGCTCGACGAACTTGCCGATGCGCATGGCCTTGCGGACGAGGCCGAGGTTGGCTTTCAGCTTGGCCCATTGCACGACTGTTGCTTGGGGGCTGTTGGTGCGGAGCGTGTACCATGCGAGGAAGCGGGAGAGGTATTGCACGAAACGAAGGGCCTTGTCGCGACCCACTGTNNATCAGATCCGTCAGTCACGACCGTCCACAGATGCGAGAGATATGCAAAATCAGGAATCGAACGTACTCGTCGTCGCGACAAACTTGTTGTAGTGCGTGACCGCGGGGTGGTAGATTAATGCGTCGGCAACCATGGTGTATTGTAGAAACGATTTAATCCCAGAGACTTCCAGGTTTTGAATATGCGATGGTTTCTTGATGGTCGATGGACTTTCTTCACGGGAGCGACGGGATATCACAAGATGATGGAGACCAAAAGGAATTGTAGCTTGCACCTGCCTCGGTCGTGCGGCTGTGATAACAGAGCATGACGCGCCGACACCTCCTTCTTTATCATGCCTAAACTTCGGCATATCTTTAATCACTGTCATTGAGAACCTTGTCTTATGTCTTCCTCCATTCTTCTTCAGAGATAGTTTGGATCAATCCCAGTCAAGTGCAACGGAAGTTGCTTTGATTGCTGATGACTGTCTCATCTTGTAGACAGAGCTGTGCTGTCCATACCTATCCCTCTGCTGGACACGAAGCCAACACGAAACCAACACGGAGAACAATCACCCGAGCTCGGTAAACATTCATTTGCCGCGAGGCAGAAGACAACAGCATGTGAACTTCCTTCTGTACACTCCAACTCCTGATAATCCATTGGTTCTGCAAATACCAACAGAAAACAACCCATCGAGCGAGACTCGGGTGTGCTTGCGCTTGTGCATCTTCCACAACTTGTAAGCAGCAACGGCAGTACTGGCAATAACAGTTGCCTGAACGAAACCAGCGACGACAGTGACTCCGTAGCCAGCCATGGCAGCACTCTGCAGAGTACTGAAGACTGCGCCGACTCCATGGGTTGCCTGAGCAGCAGCAACAACCGATCCTGCCAAAGTATTNNAGCGAGTGTTAGAAAACTCATCCACAGTAAGCACTTTACCAGCAGCAGGTCCAGCGCTGGTGAAACCGGCTGCAGCCAGAAAAGGCGAGGCAACAGCCATAGGGTAAGCCAAGAGGACGATGCCAACAACGACGGCGAGCGTGATGAGAGCGGTCTTTCCGGTGCGTGTCTTGACAAACTCCTTGGAGAGCAGAGCGATGGTCTCGAAATTCAAAGGACGACCTCTGGCGACATTGACGAGGTGCTGGAAGTCTCCGAGAACGAGCTGCTTGATGGCGGTGACGAGGTCGCGGATTCTGAGCTGCTTGATGAGAGTCCACAGGCCCTCAGGGGCATTGTCCTGTTCGAACAGCTTGGGGTCGATCATAACTGGAGTTCCGAGAGACATGATAGTTGTTGACGATACAAAGGAAAGAATGAATGAATGGAGGGAGGATGGCTGGAGCTGATGAAGTGTTCGAGTCAAGTCTTGCAGTGAAAAAAAAAGCTCGTCTTTACTTCCTAGTGAACACAACAAGAGTGAAAGAAGCGCTTCGCTTGTATATGGTGTAGACAAGTGATGGTAAAGCAGCAGACAGCTACATATTTTCGTAAGTTCTTTCAATTTCGTTACCTTCCATCATGTTCCTCGTCCTGCAGACTCAATCCCATCGAGTAAAGAGTCTCACAGGCAGCAAACCCTCTCAGATCTGCTAGTCAATACCTCAGTCTTCCTTTTCTGCACAAATCACGGGACGTCAACCTCCTTTGTGATGCGACACCTTTTTGAGAGTGACGGAGCAGCCAGTTGGCAAAGAAGATCTCAGATGCCAACGTGAAAGCATACACTGTCAAAGCATCAGTCGACAGACCAAGAACCAATTCTGTCCTACCATCCTACCAGCCAAAAACAGGACGCCATTGAGACTCAGATCAAGCAGCAAAGCCGAAGACACGGTGTTGGGATAGGTCAGGACAATCAGCACGAGCATGCCACTCACGAGAAAGGGGCTGTTGACTAGAAAGCTAGCCTTGGAGGCGATGATCTTGTTGATATAACGGATGAGAATACTGGAAGGAAAAGAAGTGGTGATGAAATGCAAGAGCAATCCTCATAAAACATTCATGTAATCCACTTCCCAGTGAACACGAATGAGAGCAGCCTCACCACACCTGAGCTCACTACGCAGCAGCCCCCTCCCGAATCTCCCTACTCAACGTCCTATTCCTCTCCGTCACAGCCCCAATATCTCCAAACCTCCTGACCATCAAATCACTAACCATCCTCCCAAACACCACACTGCCCCATCCATTCAAATGCGTATAGTCCGTCGGGTTCAGATTGTACTTCCAAGCCTCTTCAGGTCCAATGGCGTTGCAGTAATTCGTAGAGGCGATGTTGAGATCGATATATCTCGAATGGGTTTGGCGGGCAGCGGAGATGGTGAGATTGCGTTGGACGGCTAGGTCTTGGTTGACGGTGGGTGGAGTGGTGGTGGTGTATTTGCGACGGGTCAATGAAGTTACAAAGANTCTTGAAACTATTGATTAGACGAAAGGTTGACAAGCAACGAGTGAGCGTTTCTGAAGACTGACAGGAATGGCCCCAATAGCTGCCACCTCTCTTCCAAAAGCGACGAGGTTATCGCTATACTGGGTAAGGTTCACTCCAGAAGTTGCCTTTTGGTCATTGTGGCCGAACTGGATGGTCACATAAACAGTATAGTTGGTCGTCTTTGTCTTTGCCTCGCCAATCAAGCGATTCCAATCGCCGCCTTCTCGGAAACTCTTGGTCGTGGCACCATTGTGACCGTAGTTGCGGCCTGATGAGCCTTCCTTCATAGTGAAGTTGAGAAAGCCATCTCCCCAGCCGCCACCTCCTACACTTTGTGTTGCTGTCGTACTATCTCCTGCGAGAAGGAAATAGGCAGGTTTGAGGGCGGAGAAGTGACGTGGAGAAGGAAGACCAGATGCGATGAGAGGTAGCAAGGATAGGAAGAAGATCAAGGGCCGAAGAAACAAAGTCATGGTGGACACAATAAGATAGTACTGCAAAGATAATGTTGTTCTTGCCTTGAGACTTCTATATATTCCCGCTTGCCCAGAAATTGAGATGTCGTCAAATGCACAAGGCGCTATCTGGAAAGAAGGAGGGGTCTCTTCCAAAATATAGTTGTTCCTCCAATCACACTTTAGGGCTCGGTATAGTCATATGCCGGATCTCATTGCAAAACTAAGGCAGATTCAAGAATAAAGAGGAAAAAGACAGAGTGACGTTGCGATACATGTCGATCTGTAGAAAGGACGATCTTGGCTGCGGAGGCGGTTGTTCCGAGAGTGGGGAGAAGTTGGAGTCTGTGACGATCGTCTCGCTTTGTTTAGCCGGTGTTGATGTCGCGGCGCAAGTGCTAGAAATTGGTAGCATGCAGCTGCTAGGCACTATGCAACACAGGTTCCAGTGCCTTGCTCTACGAGTATCTCGAAACTGGGTTGCTGCACGCTCGACCACGAGTGCATATGGACAATCATGACAACCTTTCCTGCCATGGTCAAACTTCAGGTATGGTATAGTATCACAATTTGTGGCATCAATAGCCTGACGAGATGTGGATGGGTGTCAAAAATCGTGTCGTAACCAAATGGCCAATCAAACCGGGCCTGACAAATCTAACCTCTACGTCTGGATCTGACGGATGGAGGAGTGCTCTGTGTACCGGCGATCTCGATGGTCTTTCTGCCATCGGCGTACAGACCACGTTGAATCTCGATCTCGGGCTCTTGTGTCTTCTCTTCGCTGGCCGTCTCTTTCTTCTCCGGGCGCTTTGTGCCGAAAGGTGGGTCGAAACGCTTGCGAAGAGCCTCGATCATCTTGGCAAACCAGTACCAGTTGAGCACGTTAAGCACAATGTTGGAGGCCAGGTAGCTGAGGGCGAGCCAAGCGGGCAGGCTACGAGAACCAGCAAAGCGCATGATGTCCTCTGAGCCAGTGTAGGGCTGGTCCTGGGNGGTAACAGCGGACATGGGCTGGTGGAGGCCGTACTTGAGGCCGAGGTTCTCATCGAGGCCGACAAGACCACCGTTCTGCATGGCAGTCCAGATGTCTCTGAAGACAAGGACTGAGTTGATAGAACCCCAAACAAGGCGGCAGAAGAAGAAGGTCGAGATGAGGATGATGCCGTTGATGAGCTGGTAGATACTGCCTGTCATGTTCAGCTTGTCCATGAACCAGTGCATGTTGAGGGCGGGAGACGAGAGTTCGTAGAGGATGAAGACGGGGCCGTAGTAGTTGAGGAAGGGGCGCTGTGAACAGTAAGTCAGCCGAGCTTGGGAGCATGATGAACATGAGCTTACGAAGCCAAAGAAGAAGACAGTGCAAGCCGAGACGGCGTGTGCAAGCATGCCTGGGCCGAAGATGTTGATGTGGTATGTACACATGAAGAGATCCCACATAAAGTAGCCACCAGCCAGACTCTGCAGGAAGCCCAGGGCGCCATCGTAGCCCCAGATCTTGCCAGCCCAGTTCATGTTACTGCGGTCAGTGTCGTAGTACATGATCCACAGAGCCGTCGTGTTGACGAGCAAGCTCTGGACCATCGAGACGATGTGGACATCCCAGTTGATGCGCGTACGGCGGTTGAAGGAGCTGTAGGCCTGGGGGAAGAAGCGGCGCGAAAGGGCGGGCGCGATGACGGCGTTGATGGTCTGGTAGAAGACAAGGGCGAGAAGGACCTCGTGGATATGCAGCGGCAGCGTGGGCAGCGACAGCTTGTCTGCCAGCGGGCGCACCGCCTCGGCGAGCCACTGCGGCGCGGCGATGGGGAAAGGGTCGCGCATGTTCAGATGGGCGAGTAGAGAAGGAAGGAAGAAGGGGACGAGTCGGTGTACAGACAGACAGGTAGCCATGACTCGAGCGTCGCTGTCAAAGGCCTCGGCCGCATCGTCATCAAAGCCCACGCACGCGACGCTTCGGCCTGCACCTGGACAACAATCACCCGTCCGCTTTTGTCCACCAACTCCTCTTTGTCACGCCGTCTTGTGCCATTCATGCTGTGACTATCTGACTCAATCGTCGAACCCTTCAAACTCGCTCTCCGGCTCTCCTCTTGCTCGTACTGCCTCAATCATGGCTTGCAGCTCGGCTTCCTTCTTCTTCTCTTCGGCCGTGAGCGTCTTCTGCCTCTCGTGCTCGCGGCGTGCCAGCTTGATCTCGCGCCGCTGCTCCTTTGTCGCCTTTGCATCCTTCTGTGCCGTCCACGCCCTGTCCTTCCTCCTCTCTTCCTTGGTCTTGCCGTCACCTGCCCTCTTGTTCGCCGGCCCTCCATTAGCCTTTAGTTTTTCCAGCTCTTCCAATCTGTGCTCCTCTCGCTTCTTGTCGTTGTATGCAAATGTGTCCCACTCAATCTTCTGCCCAAGCAACTTGTCTCCTTGGAACTTCTTCAGCTCCGGCATTCTTGGTAGTCGTAGAAGACCCCAGCTGTGTCCCAACTCCTCCCAGTCCAGATCCTGCACTCGGAAAATACTGCTCGCCGAGTGTTTGCTGTATGCTTGCACCCAACTCACGAACGCTCTCTGTGCCTTGTCATGTAGCGCTCGGTCTGACTTTAGCACCTCCCGGATCTTTTGTGTCGTTTCGTTGGCCTCCTCTTCTGTCGCTTCNNCAATCGTCGGTGTTGTAAGAACTGAAATAGGTGTCTTTCGGATACGCAGGAATTCAACGTAGTCCTCCTCTTTGCCTTTGCTCAAAAAGGTCACTGCTAGTCCTCTTCTTCCTGCTCTCCCGCGCGNTCCGCATCGGTGAAGGAATGTTTTCGGGTCGCTAGGTGGGTCTAGTTGTACCACGAGATCGACTGCGGGAATATCCAGGCCTCGCGCGGCGACATCGGTGGTGAGAAGAATTGACGGCTCGATTGAGTTGACGAATCTGCCAAAGTTCTTGGTACGTACGTTCGGCGGGTGTTTACCATGAAGAGGCACGACTCTGAACTCCTTTGGAAGGACTTCGGAAAGAACGTGTTGGTAGTGATCGACAGTTGCGCACGTCGAAACATACAAGACGGTCTTTTGGGGCGTCGAGGGAAGTTGGGTAAGCAGCCGGCTAAGGGCAGGTAGCTTCATGCGAGGAGTAGTCGCCAAATACGCCATCTGCAGACTGGCTGGTGTACGCTTGTCATGAGCACCGGATGCACTCTTGACCTTGACTGCAATCTTGACGGGGTTTCTCAGACCTACACGAACAAGCTGGTCCAAGGCTTCTGACACACTCGCACTGAAGAGACCCGTTCTCCTCTGCTTGGGTAGTCTCGAAAGGATCTTTTGTAGAGTATCGCTGAAACCAAGATCTAGCAATCTATCGGCCTCGTCCATGATCAAAAGCTCGAAGGAAGATTGTGGGCAATGTACGTGGGGCGAAGAGAGCAGCTCTAGTAGACGTCCGGGAGTAGCGATGAGGAGGTTCGGCGAGGTACGGATGAAGGCGGACAGATCTTGGGCGGGCGTTGTGGTGCCTCCAAGAAGCAGTTGCGGTACAACTTTGGGAGTCGATGAAGGAAAGGTGGGTTTTGGGGGAGCGTTTTCGTCGGTCATTTCCTCGTCTTCGTCGTCGATACCTTTCGGTCGGGCGGCGGCTGACGGAGGGTGGAACTGTAGTAGCGACACGAGGACCGAGTGGATCTGGGTGGCCAGTTCTCTTGTTGGGGAGATGATGATGGCGCCGACATGGTGCTTCTTGATGGGTTCGTCGGCGCGCAAAAGACGCTCGACAGCGGGGATGAGGAAGGACAGAGTCTTGCCACTGCCGGTGACGGCTTCAACGACGACGTCCTTGTGGCCCATGAAGAGCGGGATGGTGCTTGCTTGCACAGGCGTCATGCGCTGGAAGCCCATGCTGGAAATGGCGTCCAGCATCCACGGCGACAGCGCCGGTGTGAGTCCCTCCCATGCTCTTGCTGACGACTTGTCCGTCGTCTTCTGCTCCGCGACCTTCTTTTCTGCTGCCATCTTGGACCGAGATATGGGTTGCGACTGGAAAGTAGCAGATGCTTCTTTGGCGCCTCGATTGATTTTTGGCAAACATGATGCAAACTCGACCCTCGCTCGGCTGCACCTGCCGTGCTGAATGCGGCCGAACATCTTCACCTCCGACATGTTTAGATCATCTTCAACTCGCCAACCATGGCCAGTCCGGACGCTTTGTCTCTGGCCGAGGATATTCGCCATGCTCTGGCCTCACTGTCTCCAAAAGATTCCATCCACGGATGTGGCGATGCGCCGCTCAAGATCATCCAACAACGACCCGAAGACGTGCTAGCTCTGGCTCACCAGAAACTGCACACTTGGAAATTTGATAACGTTCCGCTCTGTTGGCGACGCTTGTATGAGGAAGCCAGTCTATATCAGGCAATCCTTATCCTCACTGATCATGGTGTGCGTGGTCANAAGCGCAAGCGCAATGCTTCACCACCTCCCCAACATGACTACGTCTCCCGCCTAGTCCATCTGCTCGACAAGGCAATCATCCTTACTGGTGCGCCTCAGCATCGCCACCTCATACTAAGTATCTTTGACTCGTTGCAGCATTTCCTTGATCCCAACGAACATAAAGACATATCCAAAACCTTTCCTGTCACACCAATACCCCAATCACAGAATGACACTCTCCCTCGTGTCGAGAGGCTAGACTTTCTACAGTTTCAGCAGCATCTTGATACCAAGACGACTCCAATCATAATCAAAGGTGCAATTGATGACTGGCCCGCAATAGCTAAGCGAGATCGACGATGGAGTGATCCATCATACCTACTCAAAGCTACACTCGGAGGACGTCGACTAGTGCCAGTGGAATTAGGGAGGAGCTATACAGACGACAATTGGTCGCAGCGCATCATGACCTTTGCTGAATACATGAACAGCCATCTTCTGCAACCCAAGCAAGAGAAAACTGGCTATCTCGCCCAACACGATCTTTTCACTCAAGTCCCAAGCCTGAGCGCAGACACAAACACGCCAGACTATTGTTACACATCTCCGCCTCCGCCCGAATCCCTCTCTTCCACTGTCGAAGCTGAGACTCTCGACGAGCCTCTTCGCAATGCCTGGCTAGGACCTTCGGGTACTATTAGTCCATTGCACACGGATCCCTACCACAACATACTGTGCCAAGTTGTGGGCTATAAGTATGTCCGCTTGTATGCGCCATCAGAGACTGCAAAGCTATATCCTCATGGCATTGACGAGACTGGCGTCAACATGGAGAACACGTCACACGTCGACATCTCGCATGTGAGGAAAGTGTATACATCGGGGGAGCAGAACCAAGCAGACCAATCGGAAAAACAAGAGTTCGAGGTACAATTCCCATTGTTCAGAGATGCAAGATGCACAGAGGGCGTGCTAGGCCCAGGCGAGTGTTTGTACATCCCTGTGGGATGGTGGCATTATGTGGAAAGCTTAAGCACGAGCTTCAGCATGAGTTTTTGGTGGAATTGAGACAACCTCTCAAAAGTTGCTCTTCTCGTTATCATACAAAGCGCTTCCTCTTCGGGAACGAATGAACCTTAAACCAAAGCCTTGTGGCTTGCAATGGGGTATCGATGCAAAGATATGACGAAAACAACAGAAATAAAACCAGCGACCACCTTCCTGCTGCTTATCCTAACGCAACCACCTATACTAGCCGATGTGTATCTTCCTGCTTGGGTCCAGTCAAGGAGTTTACTCCTGAGCATCAGTTGGCTCTACGCCAGCTAGAACCAAAATCTCTGACTGGCGTAGGCTTTTCCTTCTCCGGCAGGTTCTGCTCTCTGACGACCTTTCTGTTGGGTCTCTCTCTAGCCATGTTGACCTTTAGCTTGTTTCCAGTAGATGTCGTGGCTCCATTCACTGCATTGGCAGCTGCTTGTGCATCCTCGGTGGTAGCAAAGTCAACGAAACAATAGTGGTGGTCGCCAGGCAAGGTTGCTGTAGACTCGTGTGGTGAGATCAACTTGCTAACGGCCTCAACTGTGTAGTCGCTGAACAATGCCTTCATCTCCTCGTTGATGACGTCCTGGCCATCAATTTGCGGCAAGCCACCAACATAGAGTCTGCGACCAGTCTCTACAGGTGCGGTCCATTGCGACGCAGCGTCATTGCGCTCCCAGCGGTTGAAAGCATAAGAATCGCGTTCGCCAGTCTTGGAAGGAGTCTCGGCGCCATTGGCGGCAGGCGAACCTCGCCAGGTGCGCTCAGCAGAAAAGGGAGATCTGGTAGAAGAACGCAGAGGAGTGTTTGTGCCATTTGCTCCGCGGGTCTTTGGTGTGTGCACGTTGACTCTTAGAGGACGGCCCATGAAGCTTGCACCAGGAAGCGAGCCAATGGCTCTCTCGGCCTCCTCTACCGAGAACAACTCAGCAAAGCAGTATGATGGGTTTCTGCCAGTGAAAGGATCGGTAGACATATCCAGGCGTTCGATCTGGAAGCCGGCTTCCTCCAAGTATTGTTCCACATCCTCGGCTTGGGCTGCATACGGAAGGTTTCCAATATAGATGCGCTTACTGGGCTGCGATTGCTCCAAAGTCTGCTGGTGATCCATGTTGCTGTAATCAAAACTCCAGTAAGAATTTTTAGTGTTGATAAAACGCGTTGACAATGGTAAAAAAAATTTGGTTAAAAAGTTGCAAAAGTTGTTTTGGGAAGGCTTCGAGAAGAAAGCTGCGGGAAGCTCTTTCACTCCCACAAACAAAACAAACGCGTCGCGGAGATCTAGACCGGGCCCCGCAGCGTATTCATCAGATCGATCGTTTGGGTTAGAGCTGCCGTCCCAGACAAGTTGGCCAGCGGGTTGAGGTCCGTCCGAGGATACTCTGCGCAGGGAAGACTTACGAAACGTCTTGCGCGCGCATGTCGGATATCTTGCGCGCTGTGGATGTCGGCGATTCGCACTCTGTCTAGCGCACACAACACGCTATCTACCCTTCTCGTTACCAGCTCGCCCCGAACGGATGAATGACCGTGATTCGGTGACACCTAGCGACTTACTTCGAACCTCCACTGTGTGAAATACTCAACAACGTGTCGCGAACTGGAAAATCTCGACATGGCATCTCTTATCTTCGAGCCCTCAGGCTCATCGGAAATAGATGCATATCTTCGCTTAGTGCGGAGTGTCGACTGGGCTGCTACATCGATAGGTGCTATCGATGACTGGCCACCGGAACTCTTATTGCTGTTTCATTTGATCATCCTGGATCCGCAACCTAGAATACTCATCCTTGGATCGGACGAATCACTCCTCTACAATGAACCGTACGCCGAAATGATTGGCGAAAAGCATCCTGCAGGCATCGGACGACCACTCAAGACAGTGTTTCCGGAAGTTTACGACAAAACCATCTCAATCGTGAATGAAGTCACTGCCACTGGCAGAGCCTCGACCGAGAANGGCTTTTGTATGCCTTTGATGAGACGGGGTCGGATTTTAGAGAATCACATGTCATGGGTCTTTGTCCCATTTCCCAGGAAAAGCTCACTTACTGGAACTTCGGTCATTCTTCGTGATGAAACGGATAAGTGCTTGTGGGACAGAAGGCATACAACATGTCATAACTTGGGACTTGCCGTCAATCTGGCCACAGACATGTCTTCCTTATGGGACACTATAATGGGAAGCCTATCTGAAAGGTACGTAGAGATGCCTTGGGGGTGATGGATCCACGATGGCTAAGGATTGCCGAACACTTGCCCTCATGGGAGGTCAACCAATATACGCACATGATCTGTCGCTAATTCTGATACAACATTCNNTAGAGAACATGATTGTCCATTCGCTCTCCTCTACGCACCTGAGGCTGATGCCAGGGGGGACGACGAGGTTGTCTTCCAACTGAGAGGCTCGGTTGGGGATTTCAAGAACAACTCAGTACTTGCACACGTGCTCAACTTGAACGGCACCAGTAAAGATACTCTGAATCAAAGTCTGAGCTCAGCCTTGGTAGCCGAGGACCCCTTCCTTCTGACGATAGAAGATGGTAGTCTTCCAGATCCTTGGTCGAAGGCAGCGCTCACACGCGGTTGGGGTGATGCTTGTAGAGAAGCCGTGATTCTTCCTCTACAGTCCAATCGGTACCACAAAGTGAGAGCTTTGTTGGTATTAGGAGTCTCTACTCGTACTGATTATGACGCTGCATACAAAAATTGGAGCGAGGAATTGAGAAGAACAATTGGAAGCACTATTCACACGCTCAGGAGAAAGGAGATCGCAGCCCTGGAATTTGCTCAACGAGAGAAGACGGCTGACACGATCAGTCGTCAATACAGCCATCTCGTCAAGGTCATGGAGCTTAGTGATGTTGGCATATTCAGTTGTGACAGGGATGGCAACCTGCTTGAAGCCAATGAGTCCTGGTATCGACTCTCAGCATTTCCTCGGCAAAACGTACCGGTGCCTGCTTTCTCTTGGCTGGAATCGGTTTATGATGCAGACAAGGATTTGGTCATGTCCCATTGGCACAGCATGCTTCAAGGGAAACCAGTCACTGTACGTCAAACTCGAATTTATAGTAGCCATCTCAGATGCTAACCTTCCACGCAGTATCAGATGAGATGGAAGTGTCCCGACCGGCCAGAGGGAAGGTGGATTCTGGCTGTGTGTCTCCCTGTCATGGATGAATACGGCAAAGTTGTCAGCATTGGTAAGCCATCAGAGATCATGACATCTACTAAAGCTGCACTGACGCGCTCTNNCATAGCTGGATGCACGACCGACATTGATGCCCAGAAGAAAGTTGAAAACGACGCCCTCCAAGCACTAATAGCCCTTGAGCGAGCGAGTGCTAGTGAGCAACGATTTCTTCGATTTACTGCAAGCTCTCCAGTAGCTGTGCATATTATGGAAATGCCCAGCAAAGTGATAAGTTTTTGCAACAGTGCCTGGTTTGAAATGCTCGGCATCACACCTGTGCCAGTTAGCCAGCTAGACTCTTCTTGGACCGACGGTATCCTCGAACAGGACTTGCCCTTGATAAGAGACACGGTCCAACAAATCATGGCCACGCACGAGCCGCAGACGACGCAATTTAGATTCCGCCGCATGTTTGTCAGTGGTGATGGACATCGCTACCAATCATGGGGTTCATCGACTTCTCATCCTGAACTGGACGACGATGGAGCAGTCAAGGCTATCATGACGACGACAACCGATATTTCACACCTGAAATGGGCAGAAGATGTACAGAGATCAAGGGTTGAGGAAGCACTCGAGGCCAAACGTCAAAACGAGGTTTTCATCGACATGACATCTCAGTAAGTACATTGCCGACACGTTGAATGACATTTACTGACTTGTGTTCTCAGCGAGGTATACTATTGAGCCACATAAGCCAAGCTCTCTCTGTAGATNGTACTGACTTCTTCACAGATCCGAAACCCTCTGGGAGCAGTTGTACACTGTGCAGATGCCATAGACGAATCTCTGGGAGAAATGAGGTCTATCCTGGACAAGCTGCAAATCTCTGACGAGGAAGCAGGCCAACGTCTACGTGAATTGGTTGCGAACAGTGCAGAAGCTGTTCAAATCATCACATCATGCTCAAGTCATCAGAAGCGGTATGCGATTGACTTTTCAGAGTTTCACGACTTGCTACACGTGTGCTAACTTTTGACTTACNNCAGAATCGTTGATGATCTTCTGACCTTGTCCAAACTTGACAGTAACCTTCTACAGATAAATATGTCGACAGTCCGTGCTACCAGCATCTTGGACGACATGCAACGCATATTCGAAATCGAGGCTGGTCGCGCTGACATCGAACTACGGATTCGAGCGGACCCTTCAATCAAGGCAATGAGCGTTGATCACGTCATGCTCGATACAGGACGAGTGCATCAAATCTTGATCAACTTGATTACCAATGCACTAAAGTTGTGAGTGCGTCTTATGATGATCTGGCATCCTGATACTGATCCGGGCCCAGTNACCAAAGATCGACTGAAGCGACGTGTCACCATTACCATGGGCTCTTCGAACAAGCGCCCCTCAGACGGTGCGCTATCTTCGACTATTGATTTCACATTGCCACATACCCTGAGCGATACCGTTCGTGAGTCCGAAGCGCTATCGACAGGCCCAGAAACATTCTTCATCTGGTTCACTGTAACAGACACAGGCCGAGGTATCAAGCCAGACGAGAAGACCAAGCTATTTTCACGCTTCCAGCAAGCATCTCCACGAACATACTCAAAATATGGCGGCTCAGGATTAGGTCTATTCATCAGCAGAGAACTCGCAGAACTTCAAGGTGGCGAAATAGGCATCGCCACCGAACTCGACGTTGGCTCAACCTTTGCATTCTTCGTAAAGACGCGCCCGACCACGCCTGTGGTAGAACAACGACCCGTCAACGAGTTTCCCTTGCGCCCTCGTAGCGGATCTGCCCAGACGAGCTTCAGCAACGAGATAGCACAAATCCACGTCTTGGTCGCAGAGGACAACAAGGTCAACCAAAAAGTACTCAAGCGCCAGCTCACCAATAAAGGCTACGTAGTCTGGACAGCAGACAACGGCCAAGAAGCCGTCGACTTCCTACGCCAAACCCGTTATTGGAACAATGCCGACAAACCAAAGGCCCATCAAGAAAAAGAGCTTCATGTTATCCTTATGGACACGGAAATGCCCGTTATGGATGGCCTCAGCGCCGCCAAAGAGATACGCGATATGCAGAGATCGGGGACGTTGAAGGGTCATGTGCCCATCCTCAGTGTTTCTGCAAATGCAAGGCCTGAGCAGACCAGTATGGCTATTGCGGCCGGCATGGACGATTCCATCAGTAAACCTTTCAGGATTGCGGATTTGACGCCAAAGATCGATCGACTTGCTGATTTGGCACATGCTACTTAGATTTTGTGTTGGTGCTTCAGCTTTTGTCCTCCAACTCTGTTTCTGAGTGACTTGGGGACGAGGTGGATGTCCGTGGTGGAAGGGTAAGCACATGCGAGGATATATATATAGGTAACAGGATTTGGCACATATGACAGAATCAAACAACTCAACAACTTATAGCAACTAAACCAGTTGTGATGGCTCGAGAGCCAAAAGCACGTTCGTCCACCTCGCGACAAGAACGTCCGTCAGTTGAGCGCTAGAAAGGTTCACTGTTTGACTACCGAAATACGTGATATCTGTCCAGGCTAGGACACTTCCATAGCAACAGCTCATTTCAGAAGCAACTGTGCATCCTCATAAGTAGCTTACAATATCTCTACATTCCATCACGGGAGAGTGGTCGGTCAAGAGACTGTAATGGGCGACCACTTGAGAAGACGGGCTTGATGAATGTCAGGGTTTGAATGTTGGTTGGAGTTCAAAAGTGCTATTTCTTCTGATGAATTTGACCAAAACGAAGGGTATGAAGTTAGCCTAATTGGTCTTTCAGGTTGAAAAGTTTCTGTATGCGCGTGTGTGCGCGTGTGTGCGCGTGTGTGCGCGTGTGTGCGTATTGTTGAGCTGTCTGGGAAATGGTTTATACAACATATCAAGCATGGCATTCTACACCTATTAAAGCACACGAGCACGGACAAATCCATGTTCGAAGGGTTTAGGGTGATGGGAAGAAATCGCTCTCATTATAAACGCTGGACCGGAGCAATGATGTGTACGGAAACAAAAAGGACAAGAACTAGTCCTGGGTATATGAAGAAAAAGAGAAACGATCAATCGTGAGGACATCTCCGGCCGAGAATTGCATTATGCATATGCCGTCTATTGATGATTAGCATACTTGTCGTCACATGATAGAAGCGACTTGAGGCTGACTTACCAAATCATGCCATCTCATGCTTGGGCCGAGATCACAGCACCTCGTAGCATCATGTCTGTCTCTATGAACTTGACGGCTTCATTCACATCTTCGTATCGTTTGAGATGTCGAAGTATCAATTCTGTGTCCATAGGCGATGCTTTTCGCAGCATACACACAATCACTCTATAGGCCTTGAGTTCTTCTCGAGAGGCTTGTTGCTGTGTTTTTCCCTCTTCGACCGAGTAGACGCAGGNGGTTGCTTTGTCGAGGCAGGTGTTGCATCGAGGGCGGGCACCGTCACACTGAGGCCATGTGTCAGATCATGATGTCTGTTGTTTTGCTTTCGTATTGTTTTGCAGAAGTGTTGTACGCACCCTTGATTTACGTTTCCTGCATGGTCGGCATGCGGCCAGAGTTTGTTTGCGCTTTGGCCTTGACGAAAGGTTTGGCGTGTCTGGGGTTTGTGACTGTGTTGTTGATGCTCTTGGCGGTGGTGACANTGAGAGTTGTTGTGGATGTGGACGATGATGACTCGTTTGAAAGACGACCCCCGGTGAGCTTGCTGGTACTGAAAGTGCTTCTACATTGCCGGGGAATGTTGGATATCCAACAGCAGGCTGTTGCTCATAAAGAAGCATTCTGCTCTGGGGTTGTGTTATGTTGATCGATGTTGGAAAAGACTTGAAAGTTGGCGGGTCACCATGCGCCGGGAGAATTTGGAGCGAATCGAAGGAAAAGATTGGGGAGCAACCAAGGGGAAAGACGCGGGTTTTGGGATGAGGCTTAACTAGATATATGGAAGAACGGATTAATGTCAAGTGGAGAGCTAAGGCTCGGACGCGGCCTCCGGAGGCCTGCGATCGGGCCAGTTATATGCGTGTACATCGTAACGCACCGTAAGCTTTTGGTACGACCTACGATCTGGCGGCAGGATCCTTCAAACACGAACCCCGACTCCGCGACTGACGGATGCACCGTGTTGGATCTCAAAGTATCCACGTATCAAGCATCAAGATTACCTTTCTCGAGGATAAATACTCAGCCTCACCATGAGAAATTGGAGACCGCCAACTCGTTTTTATGCCGGGTAGCCGATAGAATGGCTCCGCCGATGGCTGAGTACAAGGAACCGAGCTGATGGTCGCCGCCATCGGACAGGGACTCCGGCCATCACGTCTTTCGGGGCAACGGTCCTTCGTACCGCACTCTTAAGACGGGCAGTCGGCAGACGCACGTCGGGATTTGCGAAAGTAGCAGCACCTGCCCTGCCTGGGATTCTTCTTGCTGGGTGTATCTTGATGGTGCACCACCTCACCGTGGTCACTATTACCTCACAACGACCTCCCAAGTGTTCAAGGGCGTACGGCAGAATCATTGACCGGGGGTGGTGGCAGACAAAATGTCAGGCGAGCGGATGCGAGGACACTGTCCAGTTGGGCATTGCATTTCACGGATCATGCTCCGATACAATCCCCGAATGCGCTTAGTGCAGTTAGGGTCATAATTCGTGCCGTACGTGGTCTATCGCGATCAACAGCTCCGACCCAGCCAAGCCATTCGAGACCCCTCAGATCGATGATGGTCTTTCATGGCCCGAACAATCCTGGCCGTTGTGCTAGTCAGAAATGGCAGGAGCATTTGCTTGGCTCCAACTTGACAGGCTTGAGGGCATACCATAAAACAGGCGTTATTATGCTGCTCTTTTTCATGCGGCTGACTACTCCACGAGACACCAAGATCCGTGTCCTTCGAGTGTTCTTGTTCTTCTTCCCTCCTTCAACTGAACAAATAGGTTTGATGGGCAGGCGCGTAGAGTCGCAGCATAGCTGTCTTTCCATTAGAGCGATAGATCTGAGGATACCCATACCCGACAAGCGATCTGTCAAAGTCCCTGATGCTCATGTAAAAATGTGTTGTGTTTCCAGCAGCTCGCACGTCAATGTAGGGAGACCTATGCCAAGTAGAGTCAGCTCGGACCGAGGTTCTGTTGTGGAGCCAAGAAGTTGGGACGCAGATTAGAGGCTGAAACAGCATATGGATGTTTGGGTCGACATGCTCCTTCCTGATTCAGCGGGGAGGGGGGGTGGATTGCCTGCTAGCATCATGCTGCTAGGGCATCATGTTGGTCAAACTGGCTGTTAGTTCCTGATCGATGTTCCGATGCCATTTCCGAAATAAAGAAGAACCGTGGAAGCATCACCACCCAGTGAGCATCGTTACCTAGTCCCCAATTTGCGACATGATCAAGTCAAATGAGAGAAATTGCTTGAAGTAGAAAGATCTGAGGCTCATAACTTTTTCGGATGCGACCTGTTCCGAATGCAAGATGCCGAAATGAAGGTTTACGTCACAATTAACCGTCCACTCACATCGTGTGGCATGGGGTAAGTGGAGAAACCATTGATCATTGAGATACCATCACGGAAGTCGCGGATTGTGTTGTACGTCTTCCGAGCTTCAGAAGACAGAATATATATGGTAGGAAGGGGCACTCCATTGCAACACTCATCCCCACACTTCCTGCATCAACATACACATTATAGCGACCTTCCCCACCCATTGACCTCGGATATTGACCTCGGATAACCCATCACGAAACAAGTGGCACTTGCTTGCGGAATAGCCAACAAGCAGCTCTTTCTCCACCTCTCACAACAGCTACGATGACAGGTTCGAAACCGCTGGGCAAGATTGCCATTATTGGTGGTGGCATTAGTGGTGTAACTCTTGCAATCGCTCTCCTCGACCGCGGACTCGATGTCGATATCTTCGAACAGGCCGCTCGATTCGGCGAAATTGGCGCAGGTGTAGCTTTCAACCCCGCCGCTGCAAGGGCAATGAAAATCTGCTCGCAAAGCGTCTACACAGCATTCGAGAAAGTGGCCACTAGAAACCAGGGCGAGGACAAGCGATCGGTGTGGTTTGACTGGGTCGATGGCCACAATGACACCGAAGTCGGAAAGCAGGAATATGCTTTTAGCATCAGCAACGAGTTCGGAGCCAATGCAGTACATCGAGCACATTTCTTGGATGAATTGGTCAAACATGTGCCTGGTGGGGTGACCCATTTCGGAAAGCATCTGGACTCAATCGACGAGCTTGAAGACGGAAAGCTGAAGCTGAAGTTCCATGATGGAACGGATGCTACAGCCGATGCAGGTAAAGACCACTGAAAGTAGTCCCTCTGAAGAGAGAAGCAGGCTAACGTTTGGTANGTCATCGGGTGTGATGGTATTAAATCCAAGGTGCGAGCTTGGATGATGGGTGCCGACAATCCTTGCAGTCCACCAGTCTATACACACAAGTACGCCTACCGTGGCTTGATTCCCATGGAAAGGGCAAGAAAGGAACTCGGTGATGATCTAGCTCAGAACGCAAAAATGCACATGGGACAGGACGGTCATGTTCTCACATTCCCCGTCAACAAGGGAGCAACTATGAACGTGGTTGCGTTCAAGGTTGATGCAGGCCAATGGCCGTCAGACACCAAACTCACCTTACCTTCGGAGAAATCGCACGTCCTCAAAGACTTCAAAGATTTTGGCGCCACCGTCCACAAAATCATCGACATGCTAGAGCCAAACCTTGACTGCTGGGCTATCTACGATACCGGTGATCATCCAATGCCTTATTACAACAAGGGCCGTGTGGTTGTTGTTGGTGACGCTGGCCATGCCACTTCTCCGCATCATGGTACGTATATTCGAAGCTGAGACCAGCTCAGTCTGAGGCCATCATGACCTGCTATCTATCTAGGAAATCCCACTGATTCTGAATTTATTGATNNAGGAGCTGGTGCTGGCATGTGCATCGAAGATGCAGCAGTCATGGCAGAACTTCTAAACGATCCCAGAGTCGCTGAGGCTGGCCACAAAGGATTTGATGCTGCGTTTCAAGCTTACAGCGAGCAAAGACTGGAGAGAACACAATGGCTCGTCCAGAGTTCGCGACGCTCGGGGGATCTTTATGAGTGGAGAGCTGGAGGTGTTGGTCGAGACCTCAGGAAGATCGAGGAGGAGTGTCGAGAGCGAGATGAAAAGTTGTGGAATGGTCAGGTCAAGGAGTACATCGAAGAGGCCAAGACGCTTTTGGGCAAGCACCTCAAGCAGCAGACAATTCATGGATAGTGAATTCTAGTAAGAAGCAAGGGCTATATAATGTATGACAACCCAAGCTAGTTTCTGGGAAGATGTTGTTTGCAGATGGTAAGAGGCTACACTGGATAAAAAGGAGTTTGCGTTCGCTACGGGTTCCCTACGTCAGCACTTCAGGCAGCGACTTCCTGTATACACAATGGGGACGCAGTTTAAGTAAGGTAGAGAATTTCTCAGAACAGGTAGAAGCCTAATACGCGAACCGTGCACTTGGTCTATAGGGTAGTACAATCCGGCATATGCTTAGCATATGCTCGAGTTTTGTATGCTCTTACCCATTACTTACCCTTACTCTAGGGGCCCCTCCACTAGGGACCCCTTCCTTCCTCGTAGCGGGAAGCTTAAGGGCGCTTCTTATCATATCTATCCTAGCGTTCTAGGGGAGTGCGTAAGATAGTAATAGGCCTTGCGTTTACAGGGCTAGTAGAGGGAGGGGTCCGGCGAGGGGTGCTTCATAGTTTCTGGGCTTTTGTGGGTCTACCTGTTCTGAGAAATTCTCTACCTTAGCTGACCTGCAACCCGATACACAATCCTGACTATGATTACTTTCCATCCACAATCCATGATTTCCATCCACAATCCATGATTTCCATCCACAATCCGTGCCAACAAGAACATTCGACCAAGATGGTGCGAATAAAGGTCTCACCTCTGCCCTCTAAGAATCCATCGCCCGTAGGCGTCCCTGCACATTGGAACAACAACCCACCAACGTCATTCAAAAACCCCTGGCCCAGCTTCGCCAAACAGCACGGGTTACTAGACATGTTCAAGACACGCTTCAGCGATAACAGAAACTTTGTCCCGGTACCCGCCACCAGAGATGAGTTGGTAAAGGTCCGCAAACCAGATTGGGGTAGAGGACTAGTTGGATATCAGAAAGAGCTAAAAGCTACTTGGCTGGGTCATGCTGGGTTTTTGGTAGAGACGGCTTGCTCAGCCTCAACAACAGGCCTGAACGATTCGGCCGACGAGCAAATGAGCACCAGAGGTATTCGAATTCTATTCGACGCAGTGTTTAGTGAGAGGACAAGCCCTGTGGGTTGGTTTGGGCCAAAACGGTATACGCCTACACCTTGCACGCTGGACGAATTGCCAGAGATTGATTTGGTGGTGATCTCGCACAACCACTATGACCACTTGGATATTGCGACTATCTCGCATGTATACAAGAAGCAAAAGGTAGCGGGCAAGGATATACAATTTTTCGCTGCGCTGGGCAACAAGCAATGGTTCTTGAATGCAGGCATTGGAATTACCGCAGAAGAGATTACAGAGTGTGATTGGTGGGACAGCCAACAAGTCGATATCGAAGGCTTGGGCAGTATCAACCTCACGTGCACGCCTACACAGCACACCTCCGGAAGAACGCCATTCGATGCCGGACAAAGTCTGTGGTCTTCCTGGGTTGTGGAAGACGTACAGTCAAACAGGAAACTCTACTTTGCGGGCGACACGGCATACAAAGCTACGTCTGCAAAGACAGTGTGCCCAGCTTTCAAGCAGATTGGCGAAGTCTTTGGAGCGGTTGACCTGGCTTTAATTCCCATCGGTCTTTATTCACCAGAATGGCTGTTAAGCAATGTTCACTGTTGTCCTGAAGACAGTCTGGAGATACACAAGGACATTCGAAGCAAGAAATCTATCGGTATGCATTATGGTACAGTACGCGGAGGAATCAGTGCGCAGTACGAGGATGTCAGGGAGCCACCCAAGCGCTGGCAGGAGTGTTGTGCAAAGGAGGGCAAATGGCAGACAGAATGTTGGTTGTGTGATGTGGGCGAGACAGTAATGGCTGCATGATAGCATGGAAGACGTAGCATTAGTGTCTTCGCTTTCGCAGTCATTTTGTGGTCAATTTGTGACCATCATGATCCTGATAAAGACAGCTATAGCAGAGTTCCATCTATCGACTCATCAGCCCTCATATCTTTGGACTCAGAGATCGTGAATTTTCATTATGAATATCACTTCTGAGCTAAGTAGACCTAGTAAGCAAAATTCCGTGCTACAGTCATCTCTTAGCACTACCTGAATCAGTGTGTTCTCTCCAATGATCAGGCACCTCAAACTTTGGCCACATGATGAAAATTAGCATTACTTATCATTTCAAGAACAGATGCATGGCACTAAACCTTTGCAATAGAAACATGCTATATATTACGTCAAGAATCCTTTGCTTTCACGTACGGCCATAGTCGGCTGAATTAAGCCATGTGAGATGACTTTCTTTCATACACCATTTGCGTCAACATTGGAGCAGATAGCAGGTTTGAGCCTCTTTCTTTTTTCATCTAGGGCTAAGCTAGGTCTTGAAGCGAACGCAAAATTATAGTCATTGTTTCTCGCAACCTTTCATTCCATGCTACGTAGCTTTAGGCGTAGATAGGACGTGTATGATCCTCCGAAAAAAGTCATAGTATAAAATGGCATCCTGTAAATCGCTCTCATACTTTCGATCCGCACGCTTTCTCGCCGAGTTGAATCTCTTCGGCCTCTGTGGCAGGTGGAGTTGCTGGTGCGAAGAGCCGATTGTCGACTCTCTCGTCTTCGAAGAAGCCCTCGCGTCCTTCCTTGCCTAGCCATTCCCACAGGAAAGATGTGTCGTCACGCCCGACAGGAAAGACCCGTGGCTTGATGAACAACCTGAGAACATAATATACTGTTGCCGCCGTTGTAAATGTCAACAAGAAGCCAAGCCTGTACATGTTTTTTGCTGCCGTGCTGATGATTTGTGGCTGGTATTGTCCAATGAGGCCTGGAATACCCATCGTCGTGCCCAAGAGCCATGCGATCACGCCGACTAGATTGACGCCAGACCAGTACCAATAAAGGCCCGACCTCTTGCCATCGTACAACGACGGTACATGTATGTTGCCCCTGCGAGCGATGAAGTAGTCCACGATGATGACTGCGCAAAGTGGCGCCATGAAGATGTTGTAAGATCCGAGAAAGCTTCGTGATGTTAGTGTCATACTAGAAAGAGTTTTTGTAAGCTCGAAGTACCTGAGGAAAGCTGATGCATTTGCCATGAGCTGCCAAGGTTGTACGACAACCCCCAAAATCGCACAGAGAGTCTGTCCTCGTCGAATCGTCAAGAACCTAGGAACTAGACCTGTCATGTCGGCGCCAAACGGAAGCGAATTGGCGCCAATGTTGGTCACAAACACACCGAAAAAGAACACCATGGCAATGAAAAAGATGCCAGTGCGAGGACCAGCGCCAAAGTGGTGGTCAAGGATAACATCGAAGAGATCCCAAACGTTCCAATAGGCAGTTCCCCACTTTGACTGAATGGATGTCGTCGAGGCCATTCCCAAGAAGAAGACGAGGACTGAAGGGAAGAAGACACATATGCCTTGGAGGAAGCCAGCATCCCGAGGTTTCTTACAGTAGCGAGCGAGGTCGGGCTGATTAACCAACATGGGTGACAAACCTCCAAAGATAGTGTTGACACCAGCCATGATGGACCAGCCCAAAGGTGTAACGGACGACGAGAGTTCACCCGCTTTTGAGACAATGTCTATGTCTCCTAACCCTCCACCGATGCTCATGCATGTGCCGAAGAGAGCCAAAGCAGCTATAGGCATAGTGAAGCCTTTGACCGTGAAGATGTAATGGATCCTCTTCGGATGAACCCACATCTGCGTCATGTTAGCACTATGAACCAAGGCATTGATAGCTTAGAGAATAGCCTACAANNAAGGGAACTGGATGAGCCACGCCAAGAAGAACGCCAAGAGCTGTTTTGAAGACACGTTTGCGCTCAGGGGTAGGGCGTTATCGAGATTGTTCCAAGAGCTCCCGAAAATGCAGCGTAAGATCACAGAGAGAACGTTCCCTGCATAGAATGTTTGGATGCCGTACCAAATTATACACACGATTGCCCTGATGAAGATGAAGAAATACGATCCGTACATCCCCATGACTGAGCGCACGAGCACTGGNNGCTAAAGACGGTCAGTCTCTGGTAAGGCTCAATGTGCGACACAGACATACAAGCCGACGTGGTATCTGGCACCTGGGCGAGCCATCAAGACGACAATGACAGCTGCAAGGAGAGAGCCAAGACACGCAGATATGAAAGACTGCTGCCATGNTCTGCGTAGCGTCAGCATATGGTATCAAGATCTCACCCAAAACTCGCTTACAAGGCCGGCGGTGACCAGTGCCGAACCAGTGTTCCATCCAACAATGGAGAACTGCGTGGAGAACCAGTAGAGAGGTAGATTATANNCCTTCCACAGTCAGCGATTATTGTGGCCCTGTGCCTTCGTAGACAAATGTTACCATGTCCATGTTCTGTCTTCCACGGGTGTCGGTGCTAAGTCCTTGTTTGTCCACCTTGGATCTCCAACAGTGGTGTGGCCTTCATTGCTCTCTGGAGCTCTCAAGAATTCGACGAATGCTTCTTTAGATTGAAAAGGTGCAGCTATCTCAGCTTTGCTAGGGATAGAAAGCTTGCCCATTTTTGCAAATGTACCAGCTGGTTACGCAATGTCGAAACCTGCTGAGCGTCGGTGAGAAGAATCTCTGCTTGGATTGTTCGGTATCCCGGAAGATGATACACTTGGTTTGATAAGCGCCACATGGCGAAGACCGAGGATCAGCATAGTCCTTATACTGGCTGATTGATGGAGCTGCAACTTTGTGTGCCAGAGAAGCACACAACCCGTGTCACAGGTGTTTCGGCCTGTTTTTGGCCGATACTCCTCGCTGATTGTATTTGCATGATAGGCAGCACTAAATCAATGATGCATGAATGGTAAAGTCGAGTCAACTGGTGTGGCTTGAACATTAAGTCAAGAAAGATAGGGCCCGTGGCGATTGGAGGACAGACCCCACAGACAATGAGCTTGGAAGGTGCCAGGGTGTCGTGTTTTCTTCTGCTTGGCATTGTCATACCTGCTTCCTATCTCGCACCAGCACCATGATTCAATCTTCGCGTTGTGTCTTATCAATGTATCATATATTGGAAGGCTCGTAGACCATCATGACACACCTTGTCGCGAGAAGAACGACTCCATCGGGCCAGAGATTCCGACGAGACGAGTCCATCAAAGCGGCTGTGCGGGGATTCTTTTGTCCTTTCGCAGGACACATTTGGAGTAGACATGGCTGCTTGGTGAGCGAATCCAGTTTTCGGGGCATCGAGCAAGCTTCACAAGCAGCTATTCGGTATCCCTCGCTCAGCATGATAAAATGGAGCGACTCGGCTACTCAGAGTCAGGCTCCTGGGCTGGTGCCTTCTATTGGCCAATCTTGGCCTATCTGGTCTCCATAGATCGCTGCATTGTAGCTTCGGCATTAGAAAAGCTGGAGCGATATTGCGGGCGTTATCAAAGCCTGGTCCACATGTCTTTCCTCTGGTGTCGGTCCAAAATCTGCCTACATTTGTCAAGGCGATCATGAGACGACATGACAATGACGAACGCAGAATCAACCTCTGGACCAGGACAGGAGAGCATGAATTCTTTTGATGTCCAAGAGCGATCACCGACCGCGCCGCAGAAAACTCGTGTATCGCTGGCTTGCAAGAGGTGTAAACGTCGGAAGCAGCGAGTATGCCTTCCAGAGATGGAACCATCATTCGCACGATAGATAACACTATTACAGTGTGATGGCGTCCGTCCTCGTTGCAAGTCCTGTAACAAGGCAGGAGTGGGATGTGCATACGAGAAAGCCGTTCGGCCTCAGTATCCAGGCGGCAAGTTATTGTACGTGGAGATGTCAAAGCTGAATCACTCTATCATGCCTACCTGTGATCATGGTCGATTGAACAACACAACAGGTATATCAACGCCTTGGAAGAACGCATTGCATTCCTCGAAGCTCGGCTGCCCGATCATGCTCAGGATCATATGGTCAGCGAAATACAACCTCAACCTGACACCAGCCATGATCAACACCAAAACGCGCCAGAGGGTCACGAGGCTGAACAGTGTCGTTCGCCCCATTCGTCTCCAACAGATCTGATGTCAGATGATACGGACTTTGTGGAAAGAACTTCCCTGGTAGGAGGCGTAGCTTATCTATCTCTATGTGCTTCTGGTACAACCGATTCACAGTCTGAACCATACTACGTCGGATCTAGCTCTGGCTCTATGATCGCACGGATCATTCAAGCCTCGATATTTGGACATTCGAAATCAAGGAGAGTAGATGAAGCTGCAGCTTCTATAGAACAACAAAACCGATCAGGATCGATAACGCCACCCCAAACAATTCAGTCTGATAAAATTGCTCTTGGTTTCCCCGACATACATCAAGCTCGCATGCTCTTTGATACGTTCTTCGAACTTATTCACAGTCGCTGGCCCATATTGGACCGCGAGATCTACGAAGACTTGTTTGCGAAGCAGTTCATCTCCGAAGCTCTGACGGTTGTTGAGCGAAGTATCTTTCATTTGATATATACCATCACGGCTCGTTTCTTGTCTTTGACCAAAAGACTACAGACTGTCGACCCTGAGGTAAGAAGTGTTGCTAAATTGATTGTGGACACAAGCTGAGGAGGCACANNGCTTCATCTCGTCGCTGCCACAGGACCGATGAGTTGCATACTCAAACAACACAGTCTTGCAAGTCTTCAGTTTCTAGTGCTCCTTGGTGTGCATGGTCAAAGATATCCATATGGTGCTGGAGCCTGGTCTCAAGTACGTTATGCTACGTCGATTTGCATTGAGATGGGTTTGCATAGAAAGAGGCCACACCCAGAAACAGAGAGGCAAGCAAGAGACGAGGAACTCCGTCGTAGGATTTTCTGGTCTTGCTATGGTCTAGATCGCTCGACAAGTATCGTGCTTGGTCGGGCTTTTGCCATTGCTGACAGGGACATCAACGTGGAGGTAAATTGCATCACTCGTATGGTTTGATGGGACAATGCTTACTATTTGCAGCTTCCAAGCGTTGCCATCCAATTTTGGACGCTGACACACAAAGAAACTCGTGATTCAACTCAAAGTGCCTGGTCGAATATTGGTCCTTTCATACACATCATCAAGCTTGACCGAATTCATTCAAAAATTCACAAGGTAGTATTCCGGGTTGATAGAGACGTTTTGAGAGGCACCGCCGAAGAGCAAGCTAAGCGTGACCGCAAGATGGCGACCATCAAGGCAGACCTGGACAAGTGGATGGAGAGCTATCCTCAGACACCTAAGAATGCAAACAAGACTACTTGGATGTATGATCCGGAAAGCGCTTACCTGGATGCTAGAGACTTTTATGGCGTGTAGGTGTAACGACCGTCAACGTTCCAACCTAACCTCTGACAGACTGCAGACAANTACCACAAATCGATTCTTTTCCTCTTCACCAACTTTCTTCCTGCTCTACAGACGTCGGATCCGCGCTTTCACATTTGCACTGATTCGGCAGCCTCTGTCTGCACTGCCTACAAGCGACTGAATCAGAACAAGACTCTGACTTATACTATGATCTCTCTGCATTCATGCTTTGTCGCTGGTCTAACCCTAATCTACTGCACCTGGCGAGATCGTACCCAATTCTCCTACGAGATTCTCGAGGCAACGAGAGACTGCTCACAAAGTCTAACCATCTTTGGCGAGAAGTGGCCAGGAGCAGTCAAATATCGAGACATCTTTGACGAGCTTTCAGGAAATCTTCTCAAAAGTATCGTCAATCCAGGTCATTTGAGCCAGCCTTCTCTTGGGTCTCGCCAGAGTCTTGTCGCTCCGGAAAATACCTCTGGTGTACATGTTCAAGCACAGCAGACCCAGCAAGCGAGGTATGGACATACTGTAGCCCCTTCAGACAGACCCGCGAACATTATCAACACTCCTATCATCTCGGCCGCCATCAGGGAAGCATTCATGGAGGTTGATGGAGAGGCTCCAGCTGGTTGGCAGGGGTGGCGGATGTGGAACGAAATGGCCAATGATAACACGTCCCACATGGTCGACCCAGATGCAGGATATGGTGTACATGGACAGACCTTCGCCCAAGAGAGCTGNGGGGGTTGTGAAAATGTATACACTGTGGACCCTGTGCAAGATGCGATCATGCACACAGGTAATTATGGTGCCATGGCTGATGGTGATTGGAATTACAGAGCATAGGATATATACAAACCACGAGAACCTGAGCGTTCTAATGTCCTCCATATCATGAACCAATGGTCAACTGGTACGAGAAACGAATTAGGCATTGATATAATCTGATGACGCTGATCTCGCAGACATCAAGCTTCAGTCTATGCTAAATGTCCTCTCTTGTATGGGAACTGTTCTCTAAAAGACTCGGCAATCTCAGTTCTGGTTGCAACCCAAACACCTTCTTTCTCAGAAATGTACTTCACAAAGTCCTGTAAAGCCTTGAAGCGGCCAGGTCTTCCGATGATACGGCAGTGCAGGCCGATAGTCATCATCTTCGGTGCACCTGCCTCTCCCTCCTCGTAAAGCACATCGAAAGCATTCTTGATGTGAGTGTAAAATCCATTGGGGTCACGGAAGCCAGTAGCTGGGGTGAGGAATTTGAAGTCGTTGCAATCATAACTGTAAGGAATCATCAAGCAGCCCTTGGGTTGCTCGCTGTTGCGCTCCTGAGGCAGATCTGTCCAGTAGGGGATATCGTCGGCATAACAATCGCTCGCCCACAGAAGCTCTTCGCCCATTTCTTCGTACACGGCAGGAATGAGTGCCCTGCTTTGAGGAGATGGTCTTCCATAGTACCAGCCTTTGGGAGCATAACCAGCGAGCTTCTTGAGAGCAGTGATGCCGTCGCGAATGTGCTGCTTCTCAGCCTCGACAGACAGTCCCTTGTGATCAATCCAGCGGTACGCATGAGACGCGATATCGTGACCTTCTTCGACGCATCGAGTCACGACCTCGGGTTGTTCTTCACAGGCCGAGCCAACGGCATAAAGTGTGAACTTCATCTTGTAGTCGTTGAACAGTTTGAAAATACGCCACCAGCCACGGCGAGAGCCGTATTCGAACTCGGATTCTGCACTGTAGCTGCGCTCATTGATATCCGGTTCGGCAGGATATTCACGAAGGGATGTCTCAGAACGACCATCTCCATGCAATACCGATCGCTCGCCTCCNNCTTAAAACCGTCAGTCCACGGCTTCGATATACCATCAAATCTGATATGGGCTTACCTCCTCGTAGTTGATGACAAATGATACTGCAATTTTGGCATTGTTGGGCCAGGTAAGACCCTCAAGACCCTTCTCTCCATATCCCTTGAAGTTTCGTGGGAAAGCATAATCCTGAGGTGCGGCGTAGACTTCAGGCATATTGAACAAGTGTGTACGTGCAAGTGGACAAAAAAACTTCTGAGATGCTGAGTAGTGAGAATGGAATAGGTTCAGCAAACCTGCCTATATATATCCTGGTATGTCGTCTAGAGTATGCCTATCACTGAAGCTTGGCCGTAGTACCTGGTTCCACCAAGTTCGGCACTCCGTCTAGGCTCGTCTGTCACTATCTCCATCCCATCGGTTGTAGTATCAGGAGCAACCGATAGTAAATAAGATGGTGCGGGGTGTTCACTCCATCGGGTGCAGCTTAGGAGCGTGACCCGACGGCATTGAATGAGCCGAATTGCTCAGATCTCGTGAGGCCCACATATTGCCTTATCAATTCATACTCTATGCCATTGCTGTTGAATCATCAGCAAATATTTTCGTACCTTCCTGATTGTCCAAGTGGTAGTGCAGCTGTGTCACCACTCAGATGATGAGGACGCTCTTATCGAGATAAGCAGATCAACAACATGGGAGACTAAACGAGCTTTCTTGGCAATCTATATGAGTCGATCGTTCCGTGTCACAAGTGACAAACGACAATGAGGTAGTAGTAGTGAAGGGGAGTGTGTTAGCATGCAGTATAATTTAAAATCTACGTTCTTCTTCAGTGGATCAAATTGGTGGCCAGGGTCACCTCACGCTTGGGTGCTTCTACAACAACGTAGTTATCACTACATCAGCTCTAGCAAATACATTTTGCTCCACATGATCACCTGCTGCTTGCTCATGTGCTCGATTCCCCTTGCACATGGCCCCTTTCCAGGTCTGGCTGGCTGTCATCGGGGCACTGCCTTCCTTGCCCGTCTGCTTCCTCATCGCTCGTCGCTTCCGTGTCAGCTTGCTTCGGAGCCTTCAAACTGGTATTACTGATCCAGAAACTTGATAGCAAGCCACACCCTGCACATACTGTAAAGAGCACAAAGATGTAATGTAGTCCCAACATGTACGCATCCAAAACTTTCTCCCTCGAGGCCACACTCAAATCAAGTTTGTCGAGAGCGTACGCGGAAGATGTGAGCTCAGCAATCAAAACATCTGATACAAAGCCAGCTTTCTTCAAGTCCAAGCTTAGAGTGTTCGATAGAGTCACACCAGATATGACGAGACCGAAGGCTCCGCCAATAGTGCGGATGAAGTTGCGCAGCCCGGTGGTCACGGCTCTGTCTTCGCTACGGCCATTGGCATACATCCCGATGAGCGTAGGTTGCAGTGTCAATCCAATGCCAGCACCCTCTATGATAAGGATGATGATCAGCCGGCCCAGCCCAGTGTTTCGATCGAACATGAAAGTAAGGCCACTTCCCAAGGTCCAAAGAATGAAACCAGCCACAATACAGTGCATATAGCTACCAACTCGAGCCATATACTGACCACTTAGGATGGACGTAATGGACGAAGTGATAACGACAGGCAGAATCAAGGCTCCAGAGACCAGTGGTGAGTACCTTAGAATCGACTGGAAGTAGATGGGCAGGTAGAAAAGGTTGCCGTAATAAGCCAGGCCAGTCAAGAAAGTCTGAAGATAGAGCGCCCAACAGTGCGGGGCCTGGTACAGTCGGAGTGGCATGAGCGGTAAGGCAACAGCTTTCCATTCGTAGAGTACGAAGAGTATAGCCAGAACTACACCCATGATAGTAGCAGCAAGGAAGAAAGCCGATGACCACGGATAAGTCACACCACCTCCGGACAGCGGCACAAGAATGAGAAGCGTGGACGCAATGTTCAGTACGATGCCACCATAATCAATCATCTTCATCTTTTCACCGAAGTTGCCCGAGCGATGTTTCAGTGGTAGCAGGAAGAGGATAACCAGAGCTGTGGGTATCGTCATGATAGGAATCATCCAGAACACCCACCTCCAAGTGGCGCCTTCGACCACAGCGCCTCCGAGAAAGGGACCGACTCCATTAGCAAGGGCAATTATGGCACCAANTATAGCCTGATGCGCTGATTTAGCAAGGAGACAATCTCGAAAGTTTGAGATATTACCTTGGTATTTTCCCCGGTTGTGAAGCGTGGTTATGTCGCTTATGATGATCATGACAAGGCTGTTGATTCCACCACCGCCAATGCCTGCGATTGACCTGAGGGCGAACAGTTGCTCTGCAGTCCGGGCAAAGCCACATCCAAGATCTCCCAAGGCCATCAGGAAGAGACAGATCAGAAGCATGTTCTTCCGGCCAAATATGTCCGAGAGCCGGCCATTGATCAACTGGAAGGCCGTTGAAGCAATAAGGAATGATGTTCCAATCCAGGAAGTTGCATTCCCTGTGTTCAGATCGCCTGCGATGGCTGGCGTCGCGGTTGACACGGAGGTTTGGTCGACGAATGAGACAAAAAGACAGACGGAGAGGGCAGGGAGAGCAATCATAAGTCGCTTGTTTGACATTGTGTTTCTCTGCCCGCCAACAGACTGTGCATCGCTGTTATCATCCAACGCTTGCTCATCGTCAGGTTTGTCCGCTGGTATATTGCTTCTGGTGTTGTTGGTGATGACATCCCCTTCGTTAACGTCAACCGATCTCAGTGCTGTGCCATCAACCTCAGCAATGTGCTTCTCGCTTACACACGTTCCGTTGTGGCTGATGATTGAAGTTACCGCTCCAGCCATCTCGATGAACAAGACGAGGCTGACTAGTATCAAGCAAATGATTGTAAATAATCAGGTTCAAGGTTTGGCTCAGCGTTGCAAGTTTCTACAATGCCAGGTGCACGAAGTCGGACCATCGGGAGCATCTCCTCTCATCGCGGTGTTTGGATAGCTAGGCTGAACATTGGAGGCCTTGGCTGCAGTCTGTAAAGTGTCCATGAGATGGCGCGTCATCAGCAAGATGCATGGTCCGATTTCCCCAAGTAAGGAAGGTGGTGTAAAAGCCCGCTCAAACCAAATGGCTCCACCCTCGCCGGCGAAGCATCGGGTCAATCTGAGCCGACACCACCGGCAAGATGCGAGCTCAGTCGACGCTTCCATATCAACCTCTGACTAACTGTTTTGACAATCGCCCAGCGTGCATGTACTCACAACGATAGAATTGTGTCGCCTATCTCCGACCGCTGGCACGGTCAATTCGCCGACATGATCACTCTATCGCTTTAGGATCCGGTTTCCAGTCAACTCGATCAACTCATTCATCATAGAAGAGGACGAACAGTCGCGTTTGCTCGTCTAGTGTTTGTTCTGCAATAACCATACATCATATCGACGCTCTACCAAAACTGCGTCTAGCAAGATGACAGCCGAACCTTACCAACTGACAGCTACGGAAGTGCTACACGAAATCAAGGCCGGAAAATTGACAGTAGAAGCATACGCACGATCATTGCTGAAACGCATTGATGACCGCGACGAGGCTGTCCAAGCATGGGCATACCTTGACCGCGACCATGTAATCAGCCAAGCAAAAGCGCTGGATCAGGTCCCTCAGTCTGAACGTGGTCTCTTGCACGGTATAGCAATAGCCGTGAAGGATGTCATTTACACGNNAAAGGTTAGACCAGGATATTCGATTCTTCCTGCTGGCGAGAATAGAGCTGAAGGGAAAACAGACATGCCCACACGATTCAACTCACCCATCTATGTCGACGACGCTCCTCAGGTAGACGCTGGTTCCGTCGCCATATTGAGAAAATCTGGCGCGCTTATCCTCGGCAAGACGACGACTACAGAGTTTGCTGCCACTACTGTTGGTCCCAAGACGCGCAATCCACACGATCCGCATCGTACCCCCGGTGGTTCATCTTCGGGCTCTGGAGCTGCCGTGGGAGACTTTCAGGTCCCCCTCGGTCTGGGTACACAGACGGGTGGTAGCACAATTCGACCGGGCTCCTACAATGGCATTTATGCCTTCAAACCGACTTGGAACTCGATCACGCGTGAAGGCCAGAAGATTTACTCGCTTATCCTTGATACCCTGGGACTCTATGCCCGTAGTGCTGCAGACCTTGACCTACTTGCCGATGTCTTTGCCTTGGCAGATGATAAACCAGCCCCATCAAACTTTAGTGTCAAAGGCGCAAAGTTTGCAGTCTTGAAGACCATGGTTTGGCCACAGATAGGTTCTGGAGGCTCTGCTGCGATGGAGAAGGCTGCGTCCCTTTTGCGTGCTCAAGGTGCAGAAGTAGAAGAGATTGAGCTTCCTGAACATCTCGCCGATCTTCCTGCTTGGCACGCCACGGTGCTAGATTCTGATGGTCGTACGGCGTTCTTACCCGAATACACCACGACAAAGCACAAGCTCTCAGACTACCTCGTAGGTCACGTCGAGAACATAAAAACCATCTCGCGCAAGGCGCAACTGGATGCGTTTGACAGCATTGCTGCCGCAAGACCAGTAGTCGATGACATCCTCAGCAAGTATGCAGCCGTGCTCACCCCTAGCGTGCCGGACGAGGCGCCCTTGGGAATCGAGAAGACGGGCAGCGCAGCTTTCTGCCTGATCTGGACGGCAAGTATTATCTTTTCTCACAAAACTTGAGCCTTAGCTGATGGAATCCAGGCCTTACATACGCCAGTCGTCAATATCCCGGGCTTCAAAGGCGACAATGGCATGCCAATCGGTGTTTCTCTAGTCGCACCGCGCTATCACGACAGGCACTTGCTATCTGTAAGCAGGGCAGTGGGTAACATCTTCGAAGCAGAAGGCGGTTGGAAGCGAGATGTTTAGTCATGCCATGAATAATTTACTACAAAAATGCATGTCACTTACGCTAGACCTGGCTGCCTGATGTATTCTAACGGCAATGAGAGTACTTATAGATGGAAATTAAGGTATTGAGCACGTACGGCCACAGTCAGCTGAAAACTGGGCATCCCGTCCGCTCTGCCATACATAAGCAGTTGAACGGCAGATTAGTACTACGGTGGGTGACCACGTGGGAATCCCTGCTGCTGTACGTTTTGGTTTTTTTTTCCTGTCACGTCTCTTGATGCTCAGTCGACTACTATTTTGACCCTGGCCCTGGTTCTGGCCCGTGTCAAACGATTGTTCCCGTGATAGAGGCGTCCCGGGGTGTCTGGAGGTCGTTCCGCGTGTGAGATCAACACCATCAAGATATTCTAGGCTTTCTTCCGCCTCCAGTCTGGGCATCTATTTGGACCCGAGTATTGATACACGTGTGGCTGCTCATCGATGTTCTCCCTGCCTTACTCTGTTATAACTCCTCCAACACCTCTAATCCTTTGAACCTTGATCACAGCATGAGTGAAGTAAGATGGTTAATTGGGTATCATAACTTTCATCCTGAGTTTTATATTTATTACTTTTTGTGGGAAGAATCCAAGACCTAACCAGCGGCCAAGTCAATGTGTGGCTTTTCGTCTGACTTGGATGTCTCGACATCTTCTTGTTGCTCATCATAGTGCTTCTTTTCAGCTTGCTCGATACATGTCGTGTTAGCTTTGAGCTTGTTGATGGTCTCAATGTACTCGTCGTATGGGTCGGAGTCAAAGACGATACCACCGCCGGCTTGCAGATACGCCACACCATCCTTGATAAGCATTGTTCGCAGAGCGATGCAAGTATCCATAGCACCCTCGGTTTCCTGGCCGGTGGTGAGGTTCACACTGCTGTAGCCAAAGTAACCGACCGCACCAGCATACACACCGCGCTTCTCGCCCTCGCACTCGGCAATGAGTTCCATGGCCTTGACCTTGGGTGCGCCTGATACAGTTCCAGCAGGGAAGATACTGCGGAAAGCGTCGAATCTTGTCTTATCAGGACGCAGAACACCACTGACCTCTGACACCAGGTGTTGGACATGAGAAAACTTTTGCACAACCATGAGCTTGTCGACACGGGTGCTCAGGGGGTCGCAAACGCGGTTCACATCGTTACGAGCCAAATCGACCAGCATAACGTGCTCGGCACGGTCCTTGAGAGAGTCGCGTAATGTTTGTGCGAGCTGCTCGTCCTGTTCAGCCGTGGGGCCACGCTTGACAGTGCCGGCGATGGGGTGGGTGTAGATGCGGCCGTTCTCAGCCTTGACCAGAAGCTCAGGCGAGGCACCGACAATGTTGAAGTCTTCGCAATCGAGGTAGAAGAGGTATGGCGAAGGGTTGACAGTACGGAGATGGCGGTAGATGTTGAAGGGGTGTAGAGAAGTGGGGCGGGCCATGCGCTGTGAGGGAACAGCTTGAATGATGTCTCCGGAGCTGATGTGCTCTTTCAATGTGTGGACGTGCTTTTCATAACCTTCCTGACCAATGTTGGAAGTGTATTCGTTGCCCAGTTTGACGGGATCTTGTGTCGGCAGAACAGCTTCGGTCTTCTTCAAGACCTGTAGCATGCGGTGGACGGTTTGCTTTGCTTCATCGTAGGCAGCATCCAGGTTGTCGAGGCTCTCGGGAACCTTGACGTATGTGACGACCATGACCTTTTGGAAGAAGTGATCCAGTACAACAATGGTGTCGTACAGCATGAATAGCGATTCTGGGACCTTGAGGATATCCTTCATGGGGCGACGGGTCTTGGGCTCGAAGTATTTGACGCAATCGTAGCCCACGTAACCGACAGCACCGCCAGTCATGGGAGGCAGCTTGAGGGTGGGTATCTCTGCGACGCGGCATTTCGAAAGCTCCTGGTCAAGGATTGGTAGGGGGTCTGTTTCGGGGCCGTGGCCTTCTCCAGTCTTGAGCATGTGTCGCGGATCGGCACCAACAAAACTGTAGCGGCCGATGGTTTCTGTTGTAGCAGCGCTCTCGAAGAGGAACGAGTGTTTCGATTTGGCACTGTGGAGGAATTCGATGAGCTATTGTCATGGTTGCGCGGCAGAGAGTGAGACTGACTTTGCCGACACCTTCAGATATATCGACGAGGGAGTCAAGAATTCGGACGAGATGGAGGCGCATAGCGGGACGAGGTTGGGAGGATTGGGCAGCTTGATTGCTTCTTGCAGCAATTGGCGCACTTCGGGGAGAGTTGGCTGTACACCTGCCTGTGCATGTGAGTCAGCAGCTGTGGATTTGGGGTGAGAGCAGAGTCACATGGAGTGCCTACCATGTTTGATGAGATGCGCGACAGAGAGGAAGAGTAAGAAGGTACACGAGTATCAGAGGAGAATAGGAAGGTACACGAGTATCAGAGGAAGGAAGGGTCGAGAATAAAGTTGAGTCAATCGTCAATAATTATTCAGATATGCAAGGCGCATCCGGCAGGAGCGAACCATGACCCGGGCCAAGCTTTTCCTCCCGCAGCACCTCTGGGCCGTCGCAGGTAACCACGCCCCTCTCTCTCCCTCTGGCTTACTAGGTTTGGTAGGGAGCCGTTGCCCTGCCGCATGAGCTGTCTGCAACTTGTTTGCGCTCTCAAACACGGCACAGCATCTTCACCTGTACTGACATAACTTCCGTCAGCCGGTGTTCACTGACGTGCACTTCTTAGCAGCACCTCACTCGCAATTTCATCATTGTGAAACGGCAGAGGTGGCAGGAGCGTGCTTACCGAGGGCGTCCCAGCCACCGACTATTCGCTCCTAAAACACCGACTATCGCAAAGCTTCCAACCGTTCTCTCGATAACGCGACAACCTTGATAAATCCACCATGGCCACGTCGGCGAACTTCTCGTCGTCCGTGTCGAGCCACACATCACAGGCCTCACACTCTGCCACGACTCCCCTCGGCACCCCCTCGGGAGCTCCGCGCACCAAATCATGGCATGTCCCCGGCCCCTCGACGCGTTACCACAAGAGCGAGCATGCCAGACCGAAACCCACGCCTCGCTCCAGCACCACAGGCCAACACGTGCGCAATCACTCTTCACTCTCGACCCGCTCCTCACACACCGAAGCCTCCAACATCGCTTCACCCCTGGCGCGTCTCAGTTTCGCACGCGATTCGCACAAGGACTATGCCTACAACCCCAACGACACCATCAAGCCGCGCAACAACCCTGCCACCCCTCTACGCTCCCCCCACCTCGCCAGCAACAACTTCAACAACCTGCGCTTCCAGGGCTCGCCCTTCTCCGATTACTTCACTGACGACGCCAAATCTGTCGACCACAATGCCCCCTATCATCCCTCAGATCCCGCTCAGAAGCTGTTGCTGCGCTTGAACAACCTTGGTGGTGATATCCTACGCCTTGGTCTGCAGGACGACTCGCTTTCGGATTTCAACAAAAAACTGTGTACCCTGGAAGCAATGGTTAACGACGGTGGCTTCAGCGATGCCGGCTCTTCAATCGAAGAAAGAGATCGTCGTGACTCTTTCCCAGGACGCCTCTACACTGAGGACCACTCACAAGGCCACGACACTCGCGATCGTATTCTGTCTCCTGAGCATTCCAACAAATCTCGTCTGTCCGATGTCTGGATGGCCGACGCTTGCGAGTATGCCGATACCTTCACTCAGACCGTCGATGAGTCTCAGCATGGCCTTGCAGTTTCTTATGCCACATCAGCCACACAGACCGAAGAAGAAGCGTCAAAGGACATGGCCGAGTCTTCTGTGTGGATCAACAACTACGCCCATATCTCCACTCAGACCACTGATGACCGTCTTGTTGCTGATTTACAAGAGGTAGTCGAGCGTCTGGCCAAGGCAAACGAATCTCTCCGCCAGCGTTACGACCAGAGCAAGGATGTTTGCGATACTCAATCCGTACAAATCGAGGAACTGACTACTCAACTGATGACTGTCAAGTCCGAGAACGACAGCCTCAAGCAGGACTTGGGCTTTGATCACTCGGAACTTTTGTTCTTAAAGTTGCAGCTGCAGGCTCTCGAGGTCCAGAAGGAAAATTACGATCACAACAACCATGTCTTGCTTGCAGAGGACTTTGCTCAGTGGAAGGCTGATTGGGATAGCGTCGATGCTCGTCTGCGCTCAAGAAGACAGAAGAACCGTGTCACGTCTGCTGACATTAAGGATCTGCCCGATTTGGACAATGAGACAAACATCAAGCCCGAAGATCAAGGCAACTGGCAGCTCGAGACTCGCAAGCACCACCATGGCAGAGTCCACTCTATCACCCTTAAGCGCGTTGATGAGCCCGAAACTCAAACCGAGGAAGGTGCTCTGATCGACTCGCACTTTGATATCCCTGCTTCGCCTACCGTCAAAACCGTATACTCCGAGCAGTCTACCCAGACAGAGGAAGTGCCTCCCGAGGACCACATCACTCAAACCGAAGTGTCGACTCTCGTGACCCAAGGAACTCAGACTGAGGAAGAGCCATCCCTCTCCACATCTGAGATCAGGTCTCAACAAACAGAGCCGATAGAAGCAGTTGAAACTGAAGACGAGGCTAAACACGAGGTTGAGAGGGAGGCTGAGCAAGACGCAATCCTTCAACCTCAATCTCTCTCAACCCAAACACCTTGTTGCGTAAAGGAGCACTTGTGCACAGCCTGCGGCGAGAAATTCGACTACTCCTCTGAAGACGACGAGGTAGATCACAAAACCCCCTGGCAAGAGCTTTGCGATGGCCTTGTCGCATTCGCCGGCATGCAACGCGAGTGATCAGTCACTTCTGAATGATTGCCCACCTTCCGATCACCCCCTTTTCATTTGTTGCATCTTCTCTTCTTTTTTTTTGCGAAAGCCGTTGCGATTACAATATCTACTGATCTTTGCACATACCCCTGCTGCTTGAATACGTCAAGCTTGTGTTTCTGCCTGCATCTTGCATCTTTGCGGGCCTTTTTGAACTGTCAAATCTTTGGTTGATACCTATTTCCTTCCGTTCGTCCCTCTCATGATACCCCATCACACACCCTGACCCGCTCTTCAGATAGACCAGGATTCCCGTTTTTGTATATAGTACGCGGTTCTCATAGGCCCTTCGTCAGTAAATTAATTTCTTCTTTTCTTTTCCATCTTTCTCTCTTTCTCTCTTTCTCTCTCTCTCACAAAGTACAAGAACTGTACAAATGCTGGCAGGGCTGCAGAGCTGCTTTCGCCCTGTGGTTGTTGCAAGTTATATGGTGCTGAAGGCAGGCTTGCTAGCTTCTTCGCTCACTGGAACAAGACAGGTCATACCGCTAAATCTGGCCCCTCGAAAAGGGCTCTAGAACAACAACAAGATCTAAGCTAGGAAGGAGCATTCGTGTTTTCAATATCCAGCTAGGATCACATCGACGTATTCGCATACCATGGCTTCGGGTTCCAAAGCTGTAGAAGCACAAGCAAACAATCCAAAAGAGACAAACACAAAGCACACACACACACACTGCAAAAGTCTCAAGGAAAGTTGCCGACTTGCTATTTCTGCTTTTCTTCATTGAAATAGAAGCTTTCACAATACCACAACCTGCCATTCTCAACACCAGCAAAAGTCTTGACCAGTAAATGCCCAACCACCAAGATTTATCGCTTTGCTTCTGCTTTCGTTCGCGCAAAGGGGATTCGAGAGACTCTTAGGCGTTCATCACGGTAGACATCTTAGAGTATGGTGGAAATGGAATCTTCACAGGGGCTGTTAGACGAAGCCGGCGTATAAAGTGATGGGTCGATTGCTAGTGTATGGATCGCTCGAGGTGCAACAACGATGTATGCATAACCGACGATGTGATGGCAAGTCTATTCTAAAATCCTGTCAGAGTAACACAATGTGGGTAAGAAAGTCTATGAACATCCGCGTTTGTCGATTTATACGGGCGTGTCTATGGATTTAGCCATTTACAGATGGGAGATCTGTCAAGGTATCCTATGCTGGCATTTTGAGAAGGGCATGTTTGCCCTGTCCCTGTTCTTTGCTGTCCTCGAGTGTGCCTCCACAAAAGCAGGTTTTGTTCGCATTGATCGAGCCGTCGAATTGGAATCCAAACTCTCGACCTACGACTTGGGCGGCCGTCTTGGCTCTCAGCTTCTGATCTCATGAGATGCGATCCTCTCACGCATCCAAGCAGCATCGTCAACCTACAACGATTCTCAGCTTGTAAGGAGAAAAGAGCTTCATCTGGCCGGATACTCGGACAACAGCGACTGCATCCTAGGCACCAAGTCTGGAATCCTGAAAGGTTTCGTCACCACAGTATCCATACCCGCCTCCATGGCAATATTAATCTGTTCGCTTCGCGCATTGGCGGTGATTGCGATAACGGGAACATGACTGATGATTTGACCTGTGACTTCGTATTCTCGGATCCTCCGTACACAGGTTAGGCCATCCATTACTGGCANTCTGTGCAAGCATCAGTATCATGAGTGGAAATACAAGTATATGGCGATAGCAGAACATACCTCTAGATCCATGAGAATGATAGATAGTGGTACGTTTTGTGAATCAGAGGCAAAAGTCGTCGTCTCTAGGAAATCAAGACAATCTTGACCATGGTCGGCTGTGTGGACGACACATCCAAGTTTGCGAAGCTGTTGTGACATGACCTACAGTGATATCGTTAGCAGAGATTAGGACACCCCGAGATGATGACTGACGCGCTGGTTAATTTTATTATCCTCGACTATCAGAATATGTATATCCTGAGGACGAACGGTGGAAGTAGGCGATGACAGGGTATGCACAGAGCCTTCGCTGACATTGGCCCTTCTTGCCGCTGACGCCGTGTGTGGGAGAAGGACCGGGCTGCTGGCAGTAGGAGCGGAGAAGCTCGTCTGTCGGCTTTTTGGCTCGTCGACACAGCGTCTGGCTTTGATGTAGAACATGAAGATGCTTCCGACACCGGCTTCGCTGTGGACACCAATTTGGCCCCCTTGTAACTCGGTCAACTCACGAGAGATGAACAGACCGAGACCGCTACCACCATATTGCTTGTAAGTCTTAGGGTTTGCTTGACTGAATCTCTGCCATAGCAATTTGAGTTCGTCTTCTGTCAAGCCCTTTCCGGTGTCTTGCACAGCAAATTGTATATAGACTTCTCCTCCAGGACCCCACTCTGGTGAGGTGGAGAGACTTGATTGTCGAGGTCGAGGCTCGATGAAGGTGACGCTACGTTGACCTCCGACTGGCGGCTTCTCGAAAGCTGACAAGTACACTGAAATCTTCCGCATTGGGCAGTTTCGAGTGAACTTGATGCCGTTAGTCAAAAGATTGATGATGACTTGCAGTACTCTGCTTGGATCGAGCATCACGTAATTCAAGCGCGCGTCGAGATAGCTCTGTTCGATCACCAGTTTGGCCTCAATGTCTGCCCTGGCAAGCTCGGCATCGTACATCTTGAGAGACTTCTCAATCAGTGTTGGCGGATGAACCTTGTCCGGAGTTATGACAAGTAACGAGGAGTCAAGCTTAGACAAAGTCAGAATGTCATCAACNNCTGCAATGACAAATTAGTATGATCTCGGTACTCACAGTTCGAACCAACTTACGATGCATTTCTGATGTTGAGCGCAGAGAGTCTGTGATTCAAAGTCAGCCCATCAACTCACGACACTTCATCACTCAGCCGGGCTTACGATGGTTTGAGCTGCATCGACCATCATATTGATCGTTTCAGCTGGCAAGGAAACAGGATCCTGCGCCGGGGCAGTGTCGAGCGAGCCAAGGATGCCATCCGCAAGTTGGAGTATGGCTGACAACGGATTGCGCATCTCATGCGAGANCTGGTACTGATTAGCGCAAGGCATCAAAGCAAAGCTGGCCAGCCTACCCATGTCGATGAAGTTCTCCGATGCACGTCGGGTTTCCAAAGCGTCTTCCAGACGCTGTGCCATGAGAGTCTGTAAACGTTTACGAGGAGAAATGTCCATAAGCCACCCCTGCACAGTGACTATTTGTCCTCTGTCATCTATCTCCGGAAACGAGATGGTCTCAAGCGTTTTAGTTCCAGCCTTTTCGCCAGGTTGCATGGGAGCCGTTTTCACTCGATACTCAAACGTCTGTGGTGTTTTCGAGTCTCTCATTCGCGTCCATATGTGTGTGGCCAGATCTATGTCCTCTTCATATATTGTATCTCTCCATGCTAGTCCACGAGATGCGGCCTGTTCGAATGTATCACGATCGAGGCCAATCAGTCGAAGATATGCGTCGTTGACGTATTTTGGGTTGCCATCACGGTCAAACATGTANNCCTACACAATGAGGTTAGTCCACTTCGAGAATAGCCTCACCAGTACAAAGAGCAGAACATACATTCCAAAGGGCGCATTCTGTGCCATACGAGTGAATGTCTCCTCGTTCTTCTCGGCTTTCAGGGCGATAATCTGCAGCTGCTGGGAGAGTGCAAAGTTAATTTGTTCAAACTTTTCCTGATCCCGCCTCTGCTCCTCTGGAAGAGAAATCATAGCAGCAGCTTTGGAAACTAGATCAGACATATGGCTGATGAACAGCCGAGTCTCATCTGTGAACAGCCTTCGCGGGTTCATGCCAAGGACAATGAAAGCAATTTGCTGTCCAGATACACTTGCAATAGGCAAGATACAAGCCGTAGTCACAAATCCACGATCTGGTATGAGTAGAGCCAGCTCTGGGGGAAGGTTGTCATGCTGTAGTACGACGATTTGTTGGGTGTCGCGAGCTTCAGCAAACACGGGTCCTAGCGAAGGTCTATGGAATCGCTCGCCAGTGTGGACAACAGACTCGAAATTCTGCGAAGCGACTCCTGAACTTATTTGCAGTTCCAACTGGAAGGTGTCCACTCGTTCGCTAGCATGTACGTAACCTGACTCGGTAGGTTGGTTGACTGCCGTGTATATTAAGGAGTATGCCGAATCCTGAAGATTATTACGCAACTCCGCTGCTACTGATGTCCAGAGGTCAGGGAATTTGTCAACGGTGGGTATAATGGCCTGGACCTTGTCGATAAGTTTGCGTCTTTGATTTTGGAAAACCGAAGAGGTGCATTCCTGGTATGTGTTCAGGACGGCAATCATATGACCTTCTGGACCGCTACAGGGCTGTAGTACGACATCCCAATAGGTCTCTTCGATGAATCCATTACGTTCCAGAACAGCTTCCATCTCCCGGGCTTCGGCGACTTGACCTCGGTCCAAGGCTGTTCTAATCATCTTCATATGCTTCTCGTGAATTTCAGGACCCCAAACATCGATGAAACGGTTTCCTAAAGCGAAATTGGGGTGTTTGGAACCAAGCAAGGTTGCAGCGGCCTCGTTGTAGAGGATGGCCTGCTCTGGCCCCCAGTATACCATCCTAGGAGCCGGCGAAGACATTATCTGGACTGCCAGACGTCGCAAGTCATCCGACCATCGTGACATGGGCCCGAGAAAGGTCTTTTCGAAAGGGTATGTTTTGATAAAGTCGATCCATGTTGACTGGCGTACTTTCTGAGGGAAGCGAGTCCAGTCAATTGTCTTTTCCTGTGCATCAGTCCAAGGAGAATGTTGAAGGCCATGTTCCGAGCCTGTCATGTCTGTGTCTTCCTGGCCATGGTTGTGTTGTGTTGTGTGTCCTTCGGCCACGCTATCCAGCTTTCTATCATCTTCCCATTGGCTGCAGTAGACAACCCTCCAGGCATTGCGAAAACGTTTGCTCGACCAGGCTCTTCCTCCAAAAGGTTTTACAGATCGATTACTAGGTATTGCTACGCTTGTAGATAGCGATCGAAGCCAGTCATCATATGAGTATTTGGTGACTGTACGCTCGAGGAACGAGGAGAAAGCGGCATTCTGAAATACGACACGAGGGATGTGAGGAACAGCAACATTCGAAGAAAGGACCTCGATCAAGAAGGTGGGCCGGTCATCGTCGCTCAGAAACTCGAGCAGAGAGTTGATGTCGGTCAAGCTGGAGAAGAGCGATCCGGAGCAAGATTGCGATGATGTTGAATTTGGCGACATGAAGCCACGATGCGGGCTCTGCGATCGGAAAGACGATGCCTGTGATCTCGACGGGTCTACCATTGTGATGGCAGAGCGACACTCTCTTCCATGTCGATGCTATTGTTGACGCCTCTTTGCAAAGAGCGAAAACCCATCCACGTTCGTCCCTGGTCGCGGCCGTAGCTAATTGTCAATGACGTAGGTTCAACATGTACAACGGTGGGCCAGACCTTTTTCGAGTCAAGAGGTACAGTAGGTGATCGTGCAGTATTTGTTATCCAGCGTCAAACGATTCGGCAGTTCAAACGACTATATGGAAGTCACGATGGGTATGAGCAGCTACCATGGCGAGCTCGATTCATTGGCAATAAATATCACATCCCATCACTAAACACTTTTGTTGCACTCAAACCTTGTCGGGTAAGGGTCACTACAGATCTTCATACCGGAAAGGCATCCGTTTGTCCCGGTGTTGTGTAAGAAAAGCTCTCCCGTTTCATATTTTTATTTCGGGAGATCGCTGACTCCCCGGATACGCGTGTTGGAAGCTCCCAGACACATATCTCAGCCTGAGCTCACCACAACAAAACATGTGTAGCAAACAGCGCGTAATGGGCTCAGAAGTACCAGATCTGAATATCATGTCATGCAGATTCGACGAAAGATTCCCAGCTGGCCAGTATGTGAATTTGCAGTAAAATTACAGTAGTCGGTGCGGCAGAGGGATAATTCGTGAACGTGAAGCAGGGTGCCACTATCACCAACGATGCGGACATTTTCAAACAACAACAACATCATGAAAATGGTCCTGTCGATGTTCCAAAACTTTGATACTGTTTGGTGTGGCTCCGATGTATATCCTAGATGTTACAATCATCTGTATCATGGTTGCTAAGGTTGTTGAAGTGCCCTAGGACTTTATAGATGGTCTGCGTTCGCCCTCGTTAGATTCCATCTCGAGAGCCAATGCAAACCAAAGGGCCCAAGGTGTGATTCTCGTATGTATCAAATTTCTGAACATGTAGTGGATAGTGCATGCATCAGGTCAAAAGATAGCTGCTCTGAATTTAAGAAGGAAGCCGGAGTTAGACAGTGATAACACGATGGCATCTCGGTATCGCACACCAAAGCTTCACCACCAGCATCGATCACCCTACTGGAAGAAAGACACCACACAAAATCGCGATCAAGTCTCCTCAACAATCTGAAAATCTCACCCATCAAAGGATCACAAAGATGTGGAGTTCCATCTTCAGCGTGCAAAAATAGTCACGATTGTCATCTCAGATCGATTGTGCGTCATGCAACTCATGACGACATCAGGTACATTTTTAAGCTCTAGGAAAGTCGCGAATGGTATAACTATCAAGCTAGGTACCTTTTCTTCTTTCCTCTCAAACATAATCCATTCTCACACTTTACCACTACCCAAAAACAACACACACATTCAAAATGCCTCACTCCAAGACTCCCGGTGGCGCTGGCATGTCCGAGAAGGAAGCCAAGAAGCAAGCTCAGAGTGCGTCTCCTTGGTCCTCCTATCTCTATTACATATCTAACAAACAAAATNNAGTGCACGGTGATGGTGCCCCCAACGCAGCTGGTCACACCGAAGGCAAGGCCCCTGGCGAAGCCCCCGTTGCTTCAGACTCAGGTGTCACCAACGTCGGCATCGACAATGGCAGCAACCAGCCTGGAGAGAAGGGCATCAAGGGCGTTCCCGTCTCGACCGAGAGCACCACCAACGCCAACATGAAGTAAAGCTGCTTCAAGCTTGCATTGAGAAGAGGGAATAACATCGAGGGCAACACACTATATCCTCAAGATGGACTCGGAAAGTCATGGGCTGGACCCTATCTGTACAGAATCATGTTTATGAGGTTACGACCCTGTATTGTACTACAGTCATGCTACAAAGACAAAAGCATTTTAAACCTATCCACCGAATTGTGTCCTGCTCGTGGTGCTCATGAAAAACCGAGGTACATGATCTTTGGAGCATGACTAACTCATTGTGACACAACCTGAAGATCTCAGTATGTCTTGATACCCTCGACCAGCACATCGACCCAGGCCTCAGGCTGTGACGCAAAGCCCACATGACCACCCGGAAGCCTCAGGACCTCCCTCTGTGTAGCCGCCGCAATAGCACTAATAGGTGCAACACCAACACCATCCCCCGACTCAACTCCAGCAGCAGGGACAAGTTTTTCCCCGAGTTTGACCAGACCAGCGACATCAACATCCGAAGAGGGATATTGTCGAAGCTCAAACTCAAACCAGAAAAGGCAGTTTGCACGCATCTCCTGAGAGGTTGCTGGATGCATGACTTTACGCATGAGCGCAGCCTCACTCCCTGCACCGAGACTGGCGGTAAACTCTTCCATTGCGGCAATGGGACCGGATTCTCTGTATCGTGCGTAGACATGGTTGACTGCTGCTTCCCCCATGGCTCTAAACTCGGCGGGCAAAGCGCCAAAAGCAGGGGGTTCGTGGGCTACAAGCTTGTCCACGCTGTCAGGGTGATTGAGCAATAGTCTCAGGGCTACAATGGCACCAGAAGAGTTCCCTACTACAGTTGCTGTGCCAGAGGGACTCAGGTGTCTGATGAGGTGGGCGGCATCTTCGGCATCCGTGTCTAGACGGTGGTCGTAGTCTTGGGGTCCGGTGATGGTGCTGGCTGAGTGATTGCGGCGGTCGTAGCAAATTGTGGTGTAGTGAACAGAGAGGAATTTGGCAGCCGAATGCCAGGCTGAGCCATTGCCACCGGCACCAGTGATGAGGAGGAGAGGCGGTCCAGTGCCAAAGGTTTCGTAATGCAAGTTTGCACCTTGGACTGTGATGAACGGCATCCCTTAGCGGGTTATGGAATGTTGAAAATGGCTTGTCAGGGGGTGTCTGGAAGGAGATTTTGACTTATGAGGAGAGTATGGACGTTGGAGGACAAGACGCGATATATAGCTCTTGTAAAAGCATCAAGGCAGAGCATGTTGGTGGAGCGCGGGTCTTCCGAGATTCGACTTCGGAAGGGGGCCGAGATTGACCTGGAGAACTCGGATGCTGCAAGGGGTCCAGCCGAGGCATTGTGACAATCTCGGCATCACATTTGAAAGTTTTGGGGACTACCGAACTCAAGTCGGTATCAGATGTTGGTGGAATCGAGTTGTGGTGAGATGTCAGTGGTAGATGGAGGGGGGTGAGGTTGGCCGAAGTCGGGCGTCGCCAAAGACGTCAAGGTGGATTTGATGCCAGAGCGCCCTCAACATGCTCATGCGCCCATGAATCTCTTGTCGCGTGCATGGAAGCAGTCTTTTGTGCATAAACCTTCCAGTCGCAATCTCCATTCTAGTGTCAAGATGCAGGGCGACTACAACGTAAGACTGAATAGACACTGGTCTGAAGAAAGACAAAACTGACGGAGCACGACAGGCAGCCGTAGCGGCATTGAACACGCTGCAGAGCAACTTCTCCATTGTCGACGCCATCCGCAAGTCTGGAAGGGGAATGAACAAGAATGCCATGCCCGAGATGATCGAGTGGGTCAAGAAGCTGGGCTACGAGGTGTGCGTTCATCCGTGACAAGTGGTGCCGGACACATGACTGACGCGACATCTCAAANNGCCCGCCGACTTTGACAGACTGAAGGCCGTCCACGTTGCCGGAACAAAGGGCAAAGGCTCGACCAGCTCCTTCGTCTCATCCATCCTTGGCCAGTTCATCGCAGAAGGCAAAGTCACCAAGACTGGCCTCTATACTTCGCCTCACCTGCGATTTGTGCGCGAGCGCATCCAGATCGACAACAAGCCCTTGACCGAAGAGCAATTCGCCAAATACTTTTTCGAGACATGGAACAGACTCGAAGCTGCCGCCAAAGCCGCCGGTCACCAAGACCCCACGAGCAAGGAGACCAAGCCCGTCTACTTTCGCTTCTTGACCTTGATGGCCCTCCACACATACATCAGCGAAGGCGTAGACGCTGCTGTCATCGAGTGCGGCATTGGAGGCGAGTTTGACAGTACAAACATCCTCGTCAAGCCCAGCGTCACAGCCGTCACGAGCTTGGGCATCGACCACGTCGCCATGTTGGGCGACACCATCGATTCCATTGCCTGGCACAAGGCCGGTGTCTTCAAGCCCGGCGTTCCTGCCTTCTCCGCCCCTCAACCCGAAGAGGCCATCCGCGTCCTTCACGAGCGCGCCGCCGAACGCAACACCAACCTCCAAGTCGTCAACATCCATCCCGAACTCGACAACATCAAGCTCGGCCTCGCCGCAGACTTCCAGAAGACAAACGCCTCGGTCGCCATTGCTGCTGCAGCTGCATACCTGCGTCGCGCAGGCGTCCAAGACCTACCCACTCCTACATACCTACCCACTCTCTTCCGTAAAGGCCTCGAAGAAGTTCATCTTGGCGGCCGCTGCGAAACACGCACAGACACCACCATACAAAACCTGAAATGGCACATTGATGGTGGCCACACACTCGAGAGCATCGAGCTAGCCGCCCGCTGGTTCGGCAGCCTCATCTCATCTTCCGCAAACCCGTCCACCCGCATTTTGATCTTCAACCAACAGACGCGCGACGCTTCTTCGCTGGCTCTGAAGCTACACGAAACCCTTGCTTCAGCGCTTGGAGATCAGAAGCCATTCTCTCACGCCTTCTTCTGCACGAACACCACCTACGCTGAATCAGGTTTCCGTCCCGATCTCACGAGTATCAACACCAATGCTTCCGACGTAGAGACTTTGAGTGTGCAGAATTCTCTGGCTGAGACTTGGAGAGGTGTAGACCAGACTTGCCATGTGCGTGTACTCAGAACCGTCGAGGAAGCTGTCAATGCTGCAAGAGAAGTTGCTGGAAAGCAGAACGAACAAGTCATGGTTCTTGCTACCGGTAGTCTGCATCTTGTTGGTGGTGTGGTCGAGGTGCTCGAGGGTGGTAATGCCTAGAATGGTTCGATGTGGTTAAAGTCGACTGACATCCTTATAACAATTGAGTGAGATTCACTTCACTCCTAAGGCTCAGGAGTAGATCAGCTTGGGTGCAGCTTCTTGACCTCATTCACCACCTAGAGCATCTAGTTACTTCTTTGTAGCATATACAAGTCTTGTACACTTGTCCATCACGTATATCTACGTCTCATCTAGCTCAGCCACGAATCCGAAACCTCTAGCCAATCCCAGTCAAACCCAGGCGACTGCCTACTAAGCAGCACACTCGGATTCGCCAACCAATCGAAATCGTCCATTTCTCCAAAGCCCACCAGCGTGCTATCTCCAATATCTCGCTCTACAGTAGGCACCACAGTACCCACGACTGAATCTTGAGTCTTGGGAGCAATTTCCACAGCAACATGGCTATCAAGAGCTTGCAAGGAGTGCAGGGCTTGTAGCGAGATGGGCATTGTCAGTCCGATGTAGTGGAGGATATGGTGCGACCACTTGATCTTGTTGTCGATGGCTTCATGTAACTTTTGTGTTTGCGCGGAAGCACACCTCTTGATGGCCAGCAGAGAAGTGGCGGCCGTGAAGGTCACTTTTGTTCATCGTGTCAGCCAAGTCTTCTGTTGGAGATGGATCGTCGTTGACTGTGGGAATTGCTTACTGTATACGATATGCCAATCGGCTATGTAAAGTGGGGAGGCAAGACCGCCATGTAGTATTTCTAGGAGACGGAAGCTGGTCGCGGCAGATTTTTCCACGGTGTGAATAGTCAGTTTGTCGTTAGGAGACAAAACTCCTTCCTCCTCTGTCATGTCTGCGTCATCTAGGGGCATCAGCAGGGCAGGACGCAGAAGAAGAATTTGCGTATATAGATATCNTAGATAAATGAACAATCAGTGGAATGAACAGAACAGAAATGACGCATAATGATACCTGCAGGAGATGGCTTGTTGAATGGCAAGCATGGGTTTTGATAGATCATCTAGATCAACTTGCTCAGGTCCGTCAATGCCGATGCGAAGGAAATCAGGTATCGTGATCAGATATGCTTCCAGCTGACCGTTCAAACCCATGATTTGTGACAAAGTGCGAGAGCGCTGATGAAGGTCCGCACTTGCCGGTAGTAGTGCGCCATTGTTGCAATAGAGAGTTGATAATATGTCTCCGACGATGCCAAACAGCTCGCAAGCGTATCTAAAGATATGGAGACCATGGGTCGGTTCTCTCGAGGCCGGGAGCTCCCCACCCTGTTGTCTCAGAGCATCATCACCAACTACAGGCAGTGATACACTGTGGTCACTATGAACCATCATTGGCCATCCGAAGGTAGCGGCGGCTAGTCTNNGTATGCTATCAACTTCCTTCAGTTGATTGGTGTCGAACAGAGCTTACCTATCCAGAACAATACAAGCATGCCAGAGCCTCCTTCCCATCTCACGAACATATCGTACCTTTTGTCGTTGATATGTTTGCTCGGAGTGCAGCCCTAGACTCTGAGCCATCCGAGTAGCAACACCGATGACATTCCAGCATCTCGAAACCTCGGTCGTGGACTGCAGATAAATACCCTGAAGTACCACCATCTGCAAAACCGGCAAAGAAGCACAGTCGAGGAGATCATACGCAAAGGTCTGTCTCGACCTGTTGTAAAACTCTTTGGCCATGTCACCCTTGTCCGCTACTGTTGCGGACTCGCAGAATCGGGTTCCAAGCGCAAACATGACGTTCAAAGTCGAGAAGAACAGGGCTTCCTCGAACTCTTGACGGCCTTCATTCATTCTTGTGCCGTGGTTCGGCTGCGAGGTCCACGACTTTTCGTAAGCGGCCATGAAGGTGGGCTGATGTAGTATTGGAAACAGAGGATGCACAAAATCCCAGTAATGATCGATCATCTCGTCTGCAACACGACGACGAGGCAATACTCCTGCTTTGTCAGCAGAGCCGTCGAGTTTGAAGGGTCCTTTGTTCGTCCCGTTGAAGTCGAAACCTTGCTGAGGATGTTGTTGATGTTGAGACACCCGATTTGAAAAGGTCGTGGATGCAGATTCGCCAAAGACCACACTCTGAGGCTCGTCCGAAGCTACTGTTGGACGTGAACCACCATTGTTCGCTCCAGGTATGCCACCTAGTCCGGTATGAACTGTAGTCGCAGCATATGTTCTCAACATGCCATCTTGTGCGAGGCTGTTCTCCAGCTCCTGCGAAGTTTCTTGCTGCCTCTCGCTAGGCTTCCGCTCGTATGTGCACGTATACACTTTCCTTCCGCTCACGCATTGAGTACACACTGGTGCCTTGCCATCGCATCGAATCTTGCGTTTCCTGCAAGCGTCACAAGCAATCGCTATCTTTTGACGCTTAGCAGCAGGTGTGGAGCCAGAAGAGCGTTCGATGTCATGAACTCGGATCATCGTGTTTACCGTCGCGATGGAAGAGAGAGAAGTGCGTCTCCGAAGTTCGGAACGGAAGCCTTGACTTCGGCTTCGGCTTGCCCCAAAGTCCGGAATCACCCAAGACTCCATGTTTTCGACTGCAATCCGGTCTCGTATTCACCACAAAGGCCTAGAGAAAGAGCATGATCAAACCAGGACTCAATCATCCCTTCACTGCAGGGAAGACCAAACAGGCAGGAGCACACCAAAGCTTACCACATGCAGCTAAAGAAAACGAGTCGCTCCTTCCTTCTCGCCTTAGATTCAAGAAGTACGAAAATTGAAGGTAAGAAAAGACACAATGCAATTCGCTCACGTAATACATTAAACAACTAGACAGTTCCCTCAAGCGCCGTCTCCTTCCCTTTTCCCTTTTGGTGATATCATGCTGTGTCGTCCGCAAACCCGCTCCTTGTGCCCCAGAACCATGAGATTGAGAAAAAGGAGAAAAAGAAAAGTATCCTACCATGTCGACGCTTGTTGTCAATCAACCACTTCTCTCTCTGCGTGCAATGAAATAGACAATCAGGTTGCGTGCGCTTTCTTGCAAGCCGTTCTTCTCCAGCATACTCCAGAACTCGCTTTTCGCATCGGCTTGGGCTTCGGCGTCTGATGGCCAGCTCGTGTGCAGTTGTGTTGCCAACTCGACCGATGACTTGCGCACTTCTGCGTCTTTTGAGCGTAGAGAGATGACAGCAAGACGCCCGGCACGCTCACCCAAGTCCTTGGACAGAGGTGAAGCAGTGACTGTAGTCGACGCGATCAGAGCAGCCAGGTTGCGTAGTGCAAGTGCCATCGCCTTGTTCTTGCGCACCATATTCTCATCACCGTGTCTGGCCCGAATGGCGGCAACAGCGCCGTCGAGCTCTTGCTCTTGCGTATCGTAGTCTGCTTCTGACACACGACGCTCCAGCCACTCGATGATGGCCTTCTCGCCCTCATCGGGGTGAATTTTGGCCACGACATCGCTGGCTAGTGCTTCTAAATCCTTGACCAGCAGTCCTGATCCTTCGACGTTCTTGCGTGCGTCTAGTGCTCCAGTAAGAGCACGAGGATACCAGCGCCCAGCAGCGACCCACTTTCTAAAAGGCGGTTGCTGCGCGTTAAGCACTGTCCTCATCACACTGGTAGCCTGTCTTCTTAGCTCTTGCGAGTGTCGCACAGCAGGATTTGCTGCAGCATCAGAAGATTCAACAATGTAATCAAGGAGAACACTGCACAAGTCGTCAAAGCGTCTGCCTTCACCAACCGAGCCAAAAATCTCGCCCGACTCGGAAGACTTTATCAACTCGAGCACCTTTCTAAAGCCGTGTGCATCAAGAGTGCGTCCTCGAATGCGTTCGATACCCGACATGAGCAGCTTCCTAGAGCGCAGAGTCTCGGACTTGGTTTGTGGGCTCTGCGGTGGTGAGTCCTCTGTTCTGAGCATCTCCTCACGATTGGAGCTTTCGGCAATCGAAACTTGGCTGAACTCATTGACTGGCACCTCACCCAACACACTGCGAGCGTCTTGCGATTGTCGCATCTTTTGTGCCTCTGACGCTTCTATGCCCTCCATGAACGGATCTTCGTGGATTTGGAAAGCTGCTTCTTCGGTCTGAGGAGCAGCAGACTCGATTTGAGCGGCCGGAGCCAAAGTAGGCACGGGAGATGCTGCAGCACTTGCGGATTTTGGAGGACTGACTTCACGTTGAGGACTGGGCCGGTGGCTGATTGTGACGGGTGAATCGTTTCTATCAGACACACGCCGTGTGTGTTGTGGCTCGGATGGTTGGGCATCCGTCACAGGATCAACGGTCGACAAATGCGAAGCACGACGCTCGAAGACTGGCATTTGAGATCTGTGTACGGTTGGCAACTCCATAGTAAAGGTGTCGTCAGCGACCATTGGTATCACGCTGTCCACAGACGCCGAGCCATTCAATGTTGGCCTGCGCAGTGTTGACTGTGGAGATGTTGGAAGGTGGCTTCTGCTTGAAGTTGGGGAGGTCGGGAGATGGCTTTTGTACGAAGTCGGTACAAATGAAGCAAACTCGTCTTCCTTCGACACAGCTGGCTCGTCTGCTTTGCTATCCCTGCTCGAAGGCCGAGTCCTGTTTGCGGCCGATCTTGGCGAGAGGTAAGACTGACGGAACGGACTTAGTGCTGGACTGCCTTTGTCGACACGAGTTTTGGTTGCTGATGTGTTGACAATGGTAGATGCAATCTCCTGTCGAGGGCTAGTGACGGGACTCTTGATAGAAGGTGTCTCCGGCCTAGCAAGTCTGCGGCTGGCATAGGGGTCTGCTGTGGCGGGACGAGCAATTTCCGGGCGTCTGACAGGCCGCCTTGCAGCTCCAGACATTAATGCATTGGGTCTTGCATTGGTTGAAGTGGAAGATGAAGTCGATGCAGCTGACGGAACACGAGCAGAAGCGGGCGGTCCGGCAGATGGCTGGCGAGCAGAAAGATTGTTTGACGACTTTGATCTGACAGTGGTAGGCGAGACGCTGGCCATTGCGGAGTTTGGACGGCTCTCGGCCTGAGCCTTCTTACGCGCTGCCATGATGGCATCTCTGACTGAAGACTTCGAAGCTGCACCTGCTCTACTCACGGTAGAGGTGCGAAGAGTCGAAGCACTGGAAGTTGACGCGCTCGGATTGAGCGAGTGTTTCTCAAGAGCAAGTTTGGCCTTGGGGTCGAGGGTGTTCATGATAAGCTCGGCTCTGTTAGGCCAAACTCTGGCCAAGGCCCAGTATGTAGCTCTCATGGCCTCCTTGACCTTAGGTTGGGAGTCGTTCAGACCATGTTTCACACACTTTTCGGCAAGCTCGAGGCCTCCAGTGCTCTCAAAGTGGGATTTTGCGCCAGCTTGTCTGCTGAGAATAGTGCGAAGCCACCCAGCAGCAAAGGTTCTCGGTTGGACGTTCTTGTCCTGACAGGCAACCCAGACGTGTTGCATGGTACGGATGTTGTACGAGACGTATTGATAAATGGTGTCGACCGTCTGGTTGCCGTTTTGGGCGGCAATGTTCTTTGTGGCTGCACACATCTTTACAAATGTCTGCAGATAGATCTCGACCATGGGGTCAAGGGCTGGGCCCAGAGTCCTGGCCAGTTCTTGGACCATGTAACATCCATTACTAGAAGTTGTTGTTCTCAGAGAAGAGGCGACTTTGATGATGCCGGCTTGCATCTGTTTCATGGACGACATGAAGAAATTGTGGTAATCGGTGGGGGCGTTTCCCTTTAGCAATCGTCTCATCTTGGTAACATCCTTGTCGCGATTGCCCCAATTCTCCTCGCTCTCCCTGCCCTCAAAGTGGGGAAGCATATCACTGAACATATCCTCAAGTTCTCTTTGCGAATGGACGAAGATGGGATCCATTGGAATCTCTTNCGGAGGGGGTGGGCGAGCGGCCTCGCTGTTGATGCTCTCGGCGAGATGGGGATCGATGGCAGGGAGGGAACGGGTGGACTGCGCCATGTCTACTGCGGGCGCCGATGCTTTGTCTGAATCGATTTGCGTGAGGATCTGAGAGGCGATGCCGGTACGGACACCATGCAGGTTCAATTGTTTCTTCAGGTCGGCTTTCGCGCGGTCTGGCGCGTTCCTACAAGCAGAGGGTCAGACAAGCAGGTGCATTGCGATGGACGCGGCATACCGGAAAAGATCAACCAAAGCACTCTTTGCAGAGTCGCGGACTGCGCCGTCGTGGTCTTCAAGGTTTGCGACCATCAGAGGCACGAAGCTCTTGAAAGGCAGGGCTTCATCGTGGTTCATGCGCACAACCCAGTGCATCGCAGTGTCCTTTGCGCGCACGTTTGCGCCAGGGATGACTTCGTCGCGGATAATGTGTTCGACGTCCTGAGGGCAAAAGTGCCAGGCATCGGCAAAGGCTTGCGAGGCAGCATTGCGATGGTTCTCGCGAAGGTCGCCTAGTCTTTCCTGCAAGGCGACAAAGAGTTTGGGAGCGTGTTGGACAATGGCAGAGCCATCGGGGTCCTGGATCTTCAGGCGCTTAATGAGATGACCCAGCGTGGTGAATGCAGCAGTGGCGAGGGTGCTCGAGGCCTGCTGGGTCAAGGCGACTCGGAGGCACTCAAAGATGACGGGCTGGGCGCTGTCGGGCACTCGGTGGTGCTTGATGTCAGACTTGAGATTGTTCAGCTGGGTGAGCTTCGCGTCCGACGCGGCCGATGAGCGTTTGAGCGTCGTCAGCAGAGTCTGCGCCTGCTGGTCCATGGCGGAGCAAGGCCGAAGTCGCGAGAGAGTCGAGTGTCGGGCGTCGAGGTCAATTGGCGCAAGAAGGGATGAGGAAGCAAGACGAAAGCATGCGGCCAACAGATGAAGACTTGCCGGGCTTGAGCGTGTTGATGTCTCCCCGCTTCGTAAACAACGCCGACCAGCTGAACCTTGTACATCGGATGCTCCCTCTCCTCTGCTCTAGCCGCCGTGCGCGATATACACCAGCCTATCTATCCTTGCAGATCTTTTTTCCTGTTGTATGTCCTTGCATCTGAGATCTACGTACTTACTGTCTTTGCAACAGACTCACTTGCTCCTCGACAGATTGGAGAGCCTTGTAGAAATGTCAATCCTGACGCAACTTTTGGTCGGTGCGGAAACGCCTTCCGACCTTATCGGCCTTATCGCCTCGGCAAAGCCTTGTGCTGCAAAACACGTGCATCATGTTTATGCAAGACACCATTCGAATACACAACTATCCACCCATGTACAAACACAACCACTACCATCTATGTGAAGATGATACCACCGTCAACAACCTGGCATTGCCCTGTGATGTAGTCACTGTCCGGCCCAGCAAGGAACGACACCAGCTTGGCCACGTCTTCGGGCACACTCACACGACCAAGGGCGATCAACTCGTCCGTGTACTTCTTGATTGTCTCGCCCTTCTTGATAATCTGACCTAGATCATTGCCACGCTTCTTGCCAAGCTCCTCGTCTATCAGATCCCACCTATCAAAATACAATTAGCATGCTTCTTGATAGCTGCACCCTCTTATACGTACATGGCTGTGCCAACAATGCCCGGTGCATAAGAGTTGACCGTGATGTGATGCTCGGCCATCTCCATGGCATATGCTTGGGTCAGACCACGAACAGCCCACTTGGATGCCGAGTAGTGTGAGAGGAGAGCAAATGGCTTGAAGGCGACAATCGATGCTGCAGCCAGCAGCTTGCATGGTGCATCTGCAGTGGCATTACCCTGCGAGATGATCTGTCGGGCTGCAGCGCTGTAGCAGTTTTGAACGCCAAAGACGTTGATTCTGAACATGCGCTCAAAGTCTTCGGTCGTCAAGTCTAGCAGCGGCTTGACCTGAGCGATTCCAGCATTGGCAATCCTGCAAATTGATTGTCAGCCATCCATTCTATCAGTGGAATATGCAACGAGAAAAATCATGCGATGTAGGCGTTGTGCGTGTGCATTGTGCCCACAATGTTGCATAAAGATTTGAAGCTCGGCAAGCCGAAATCCAAAATTCTCAACAGCCACTTGGACCTCTCAGTCCAAGCACCAAAACAGATGCACACGAGCAAAAGGAAAGCTCTCCCGGACAGGCTTGAACTGTCAACCTCTCGATAGCGAGACCAATGAAGATCTTAACAGTCGAACGCGCTAGCCAATTGCGCCACGGAAGATGTGAAAGCTGAGCTTTCTGTGGCTGTTGGGATGCGAATTTGCGAGTCTGGGGTCAATATAAAACTCGACGATCTTGCGCCGAGGGATTGCCAGAGCACAGGACAGCTCATGCCTCGCCCAAGAGTGCCATGCTTTGACTCATTGACATATGTTGTGGTGCTTCAACCATTCTGAGCTCAGGTAAGACTCGGTGCTGAATTGCCATGCAGGGACAGATACATGTGTCAGAGTCAAGCAATAACCAGAGGCTTGTGCAATCTTCAGGAAATCCTTGCTCTTTCATACTTCGCAGCTGGGCAGGGTGGCCTGGTAAAGGCGACTGAGAGAGAGAGGAGAGCGACCAATGACTCGACTCACATTGTGTTCAGGGGGCCAAGCTCTTTGACCGATTTTTGTATAACAGACTCAACCTGGGAGAGATCCGAGACATCGCCAACAGCACCTACAGAATTGACGCCTGCTGCCTTGACTTGACTGACAACTTGGTCGATGCCTTGCTTGTTGGCTTCGACGTCGTTGATGCATAGATTGTAGCCGTCCTGGGCCAGACGTAGGGCGATGGCCTTGCCGCTGCCGCACATGTCAGCGCTGAACAGTATGTCAAGCAGTGTGAGAAACAATTACATTCCACGACTCGCGCCGGTGACAATGGCTGTTCTCTTGTCCTCTCTTTGTAGAGTACTAGCAAAAGTCCTAGCCTGCGACGGATTGAACAAAGGTCTGATCGAAGTGGCGGCGTGCCAGACAGCTCTGCTGCCGAGTCTCGTAACCATGATGAAGTATGCAAACAGAACGGCAGGACCAAGGATGTTTTTCGACAAGTATAGGCCAGAGGCAGATGATGTCCTGGGGGTCAATATAGTAAGATGGAGGCAGGAAAGTCAAAGCAGGGCAGGTGTTGAAGAAATGGATTTACGGAGAGATGGATAAAGGTACAGCTGAACAACCCCTCTCGTAGGGGTAGTTGAGGATTTACAGGGCTCATGGACGGAACTGTTCCTTTCGGAGGTGAAGGATGCAAGATGCAAGCCCCGCAGCTTGGCCGGTATAGAGGGCATGCGGAGCTGCGGCAGGAAGACGATGAGCCGATCGAGGGTCCGTCGCTCGTGATGAGTTTGCCCGAAGGACGAGAGACAGAGATGGGAAAGAGAGAAGAAGTGATGCGGGGTAGAGTAGCACCCGTGTGGCCAGCTAAGGAGCAGGAGCATGAGCAGGAGCACGCGCATCAAAAAGGAGAAGGTCGAGCGAGCCATCTGATTAGATGGGCCTGGCCACCAAGTTTGTTTGTGTTCCTGACCATCAACACAGGCAAAACATGTCGCGCATGGGAGCACCGGCGAGCAGTCGCAACCTGAGTCTGACAGAGGAGCTCGAGAGACTCGAACAGTCAATTACTCTGACACTGCAAGGCACGTTGATCTGGCCGTGTGACCAAACAGAGCAGCGCTAACCAGAACAACANGAAATCGACCACAACTTCAGCAAGGCCCATCGCATTGTAACGTCAAGCATCCTGCCCGTCGTCGACCAATACGCTCAACACTCTCGCGACGTCTGGGAAGGCTCTCGCTTCTGGAAGCAGTTCTTCGAGGCATCGGCCAATGTCTCCTTGTCTGGCTACCAGGAGGGCGCACTGGAAGAGGATGCGAGCCACAACGACACGACTGCTCAGGAAACTACCTACAACGAGCCCTCTGTCGACGACGTCGCCGACAGGACTGTGACACCCACCGCCCACGACTATCCCCACGACGACGACGACGACGACGACAACGACGACGACACGTCCATCATCGATTCTCCCTCCAACACCACGGGCGTCCACAGCACACCGCAGATCAAGACCAAACAAAAGCACTTTGCTTCNCCCTCGCCCATCAGGCCCTCGTCAGACCAGATCAGCACCCCCATGCGCGACACGCTGAACTTCCAGTCGTCTCCGTTCGAGCCTCCGTCAGCCTACCAACCCTCGACTGCCCAGCGCCAACAGAATCCCGATCCTCTTATGCACCGCATCATGGACCGCAACTTCCGTATTCAAGCTACACCCCACACTGCTCGTAAACAGCCGCGTCCTGTAGCCACCGAAACCCCTGCATCCGCCCACCAGAACCAAACACAAACACGTACTCGCAACCTGTTTGCCGACAGCAGCCCCATGAGCAGTCCTGAAATGGCCGCCCCTCAACTCCGCTCCGATCTGTTTTCCCCTCAAAAGTCTCCGAGAAAGGCCCTCCAAGTTCCACACACTCCCGGCATCTCTGTTCAGACTCCCGGACGTGACCTCATGACGAGCACCGGCCGTGCCTTGTTCACCGATACCAAGGACAAAACTACGCGTACCCTCTGGGACCAAGAATCTGATAGCGACGACGACTTTAGTATCAGTCCTCCCAAGACTATGCAATTCCACATTCCCCAGTCCCGCCTTATGCAGACCCCAGCACGAGAGGCCAGTAGGATCATTGTCGATGACTTGTTAGCCACAGCTGGCGCCGACCGTACTGAGTCTATTGAGGGTGATAGTGTCCCCGACATCAGCCCCAGCCTCGTCAGAAGGAAGTGGGATGACGACGACACTTTCTGAACGCCACTATCAGACACGCTTTGGTAGATGATCAATATTCAGATGTTGTACTTCAGTTTACTGCTAGAGTCGTGTCAAATACCTCCTGACTACAGTTCTCTTGTTCCTTATCCCAAAATCATAACCTTTCATCCAATACGCCATGCAAACATAATTTCATCAAACCAAACGTCTCATTCTCTTCGTTAGAAGAAGAGCAATTCGTCATCGCGCCACCCTTGGTTCAGCAACGCAGCATGACAACTTTTCTCGAGTGCTTCAGGCCCACAGATCAATACCAGAGCTTGCTCAGTCGAGTCAAGCTTGAGTGCCTCTTTACTAGCATGTTCCGCAAGTAGCGGCGCAGCGATACGCCCTCTCAGACCATCCCAGTGGTCCGGTGCTTGAGTGAGCGTGTACAGAAGCTTTGCTTTGTGCTCGTTGTCCTTCGCATAGCTGTCTAGCTCGCCCTTGCATAGGATGTCTTCGACAAGGCGATTGCCATCTAGCAACGTGCACTTGGTCTTGTCGTCAGCATCCTGCATCACTGCACGGAATACCTGGTAGATTGGTGTGACACCCGATCCGCCGCAGATCATGACAAATTGTGAAATGTGTCGTTCAACGCCGTTGATGGCACATAGACCTTGGCTCAGATATCGGAATTTGCCAATTGGGCCTTTGAAGTCGACAAAGTGACCGATGGGTAAAGATTCCAGGGCTTGCGACATCTTTCCTCCCTCTTGCGTGCCGTTCTTGAAGTACACCTTGATCAGAATGTCAACGAAGCCCTTCTCGGCTGTTTCTGAAATTGGCGTATAAGAGCGGATTATGGCCTCACGCGTGACGGGGTCGCGCAGACGCATCATGAGGTGCTGGCCAGTAGGGAGACCAAGTGTTTGATCCTCGGTTTCGAGCTTGAATCTGAAGATACGACTGTCCCAGGAGACCGTAGTCTTCGATTGTAGGATAGCCTTTTTCCATGTACGTGGATTCAAGAAAGTTTCCGAAGGCGTCGCGTTCTCGTCGGGCTGCACTTCTTCACCGCTCAATGCTCGCTTGCCTTCCTCGTCCAGCGTACCGATGTGATAAGTTGGCATCATAGCTTTGGCAGTCTCGCTGTGGATGGCCATGAATTCGTCGGTACTGTCCAGTCCAGCTGCCGAGACGATGCTTTGGGCACCTCCAGGATGACCTTCCATAAATGCTGTGCCATCATACACTTCTCCATTCACGACGAACCACGGTTGCTGTTCAGTGTCATGTTTGCGCAGATCGTCGATCGTGATCTTCTTGTCAACTCCATCTTTGGTCATCTTGACGTCTTCTGCTGCCTCTGTGACAGGCTCTGGCGCTTCTGAGCTTCCAAGTTGTTCGCCCCAATAGCCGTTGGCAAGATTTCCGCCCAACTTCTTCACGCGTTCCATCCAGCCGCCCGGCATTAGGGCAGGTTGTGTGGGATGCTCAAAGCGCAGATAGTCGTTCTCTCGGTGAATGGCAATTCGGTACCAAGGGTTGTTCATCATGCCCAGAACACTCCAGTACATGTCGCGAGGCTGCACGTTCATGCTCTCATCCATGGCTCGACACATGATATCTTTGGCGTCCTTCAAGTCGTCGACCGGGATATCGATGTTCCAGAATGCCCAGGAGAAACAACTTTCTCTCCATTCCATATCTAGTCTGCCGCCATAGAGGTCAACGGGACCTGCTTCTCGATATCTGTCTTCGGCATAGTCGACATTGGCAAGGCGCCAGCTCTTGCCTTTGTCTAAGGTGACTTCAACACGTGTGACACGCCGACCACCACCACCGTAAGCGTATCCCTTGACACGGTAGTTCTGTGGTGCACCAACAATACACAATTGTTCTTCATGGACCGGATGGGCCATTGCTGAGTTGGTTGACAAGTCGTAGATGGCATATCTCTCGTCCATCCACCAGTTCTTGTCATTCGCCGATTCCTCTGGGGAGACGGTCGTTGGCAGGACCCGATTGTCGTAGATGTGGTACCAGTTGTCGCTCGGCTTGTCGGTGATGATCAGCTTCTTGAGCCACTTGACGCTGCGACCTCCTATTTGACCCGGAATGATCGCTCGCAAAGGTTTGCCGTGATCTGGTGTTAGCATCTCGCCGTTCATCTTGTAGGCCAGCATCATGCCCCTGTTGGGATCCAATGCCCAGTTGAGCTTGACCGAGGTGCCGTAGTACCCATTGGNGCTATCATTATCAGTACGGGTATCATTCGGACATCAGAGCTCCTGGCTTACCAGCTTGTCAGCACCTTCCATACACACGTATCTTGCTCCTCTCTTCAATCCAGCCTTCCTTAGAATCTCATGCATCATGACACCAGTCCACAGAGCATTGGACACACCAGCAGCACCCCATGAGAACCCCTTGGTCTTACGGACAACATTCTGTTCTTTTCGTCTGTTGCCAGCACAGACGAGCGTCACAGGACATGTAATCTGGTCGTATTCTCGGACAAGGTCTTTGAACTTGATTGTGAGTGGCTTTTCGACGANGTCTAGCACTTCTTAGTGTCATTCTTCGTGCACCATGAACAACGAGCCTTACCCTTCTACTGTAAACTCCCAGTCTGGAATCTCTTCGTCGTTGACCTGAGGCACAGGACCATGGTTTCTTACATAGAACAGTTCCGGACTGGTCAACCATCCTTCGTTGTATAGATCTGTAAGAGGAGCTTCGCAGTTGAATGGGTGTGCTCCGGTCAATCGAATGAGTCTAGGGTCTCGCGGTAGCCATCCGTCAGGTGTCTTGTGGTCTAAAGGATTGATCTCTGTTGGTGGGTGTGATGGTGGCGGCAGAGGAAAATCTGTTGATCCTGTTTTGCTAGTCGACTTTTCTGTGTCGCTCAGATCCGAGTCTGGTGGTGTAGGGGGGAAGTCTGCAGACACTCGTCGCAGATGTACTCGCTCTTCATAAGTGGCTTGTACTGTGGTCATCTTGAGAGACTGATTCTGCTACACCAAAAAAAAATCTTTGTCAAAGCTCAATGGGACAAGAAGAAGGGGTAGAAGATGTTGTAAGTATGGACTGGACTTGGGGTTTGATTGTGCAACAAGGACCGATTTACGAGACGAGAATAAAACCAGATGCCCCGGAGAAAGGCTGACCACAAAAATGCCTACACTTTAAACGCCCACATGGGGCAGAGGCTTCACATTCGTCATACCGGCATGTCTAGACATATCTGTGGGCGGAGAAGCAGAGTAGGGAGCCTCAGCAGATTGCGATAGACGAATCACCGCGGAATTAGAGCATACCTGCGACACGGAGCAGGGGAAATACCGCTGTCAGCGTCTCTGTGGGATGTGGAGTGGTTGAGAACGAGCAGAGATAAGGTCGTCTCTTTCTGGAATAGCGTCAGAAGCGAGAGCCAACATGCTACTCAGCTCGATGCACCCGTTCTCGAGATGAGAGTCTCCAGTACAAGCACTTGCCTCTGCCGTGTATACATATGAGGTTCGAAGCGATACTAAGAGAACCAATGGTCCGCCATCAGCTTATCAGCGGTATATAGTTGAGCAGGTGAAGTCGAAAAAAGACTCTGCGCTTAAGGGCTACTTGGTTAATCGTCCTACCGTGATTGGCTGTACAAAGTCTTGTCAGGGTTTTTGCTTCTTTGCCGAGAATATCCCATTATCGTTCCTTATCAGTGCTGCTCCACCTTATGCGGCTCCATGTCGACGCACCCGATTGCGCCCTCGACGATCTGTCCCGAGGAGAAAGAAGCTGATGTCGTTGTGCAGATGTGTTTAGTTTGGTAATCCGGAGTGCCGTGTATGGCCATGCCACACAAACGCTGACCACGGTGTTACTTCTCCGGCCGCCGCGGCAGACGTTTATGCCATGACATTTGCTAGGCTTGCATGCGCCTCAGTCGGTGGGCAGGTCAGATAGCATGCTGATAGATAGCTCGGTATGGCAAGGCAAGTCCATAAACACCTTTGTCTTCCCTCTCTACCTCTAGCTTCTTTTATCCTGCTATACCTTTATTGTTGCCGTAACCAATTCTACGCCAGCATTTGCTGTGCTTATACTAACAATATTCTCCTTCTGTTTGTTGACTCGTATCACATCATCTATCATCATGAGTAACAGTGAGTGGAATGATGCCGAGGCAAACGTCCTCCCAGAGAAGGTCGAGAAGATGGAGCAGAACGGCGAGCTCCCCAAAGATACCAAGAGAAAGCGAGTTGTGGTAGTGGGATTGGGTATGGTCGGTGTTGCATTCATGTAAGTGTCAAGATTGTGAAGTGCAGAGTCCCGGACTGACCTTCTGCTTGTAGANGAGAAACTCATGAAATTCGACGTAAAACGACGAGAGTACGATATCATCGTCATTGGTGAAGAAGCACATCTTGCGTACAACAGAGTTGGCTTGACCAGCTTCTTCCAGCACCGACTGGTCGAAAACCTCTACCTCAATCCGAAAGAATGGTACTCATCAATGCCCGAGGGCTCATTGAATTACCACCTCAACACCAAAGTCACATCGATCAACCCGGAAGAAAAGAAGGTTGAAACATCACAAGGCACAACGGTGCCATACGACATCCTAGTTCTCGCAACCGGCTCCGATGCCGTATTACCTCGCCACACTCCTGGACACGATGCCAAAGGCGTTTTCGTATACCGCACGATCGAAGACTTGGAGAAGCTCATTGCATACTCCGCCACGAAGAATGGATCCGTCGGTGCTGTGGTTGGCGGTGGTCTACTCGGCCTCGAAGCCGCAAAAGCAATGATGGACCTCGAGGAGTTCAGCAAAGTCAAGCTCATCGAGAGGAACCGCTGGGTGCTGAGTAGGCAGCTAGATGGCGACGCTGGCGGCATGGTTGTCGAACAGGTTCGAGCTCTGGGCTTGGATGTGCTCCTCAGCAAAAGAGTCGGAAAGATCAACGTCGATGGTGACAACAGTGTCACTGGTGTGACCTTCGAGGACGGCGAACAAATGGACTGCACATGCATCTGCTTCGCCATCGGAATCAAGG